CTCTCTCTCTCTCTCTCTCTCTCTCTCTCTCTCTCTCTCTCTGATCTCATGTTCCTTTCTCCCCGTCTCAACCCGGCCCCCGCCAAGCCACTCACCTGGTATTCAGTTACGAGTCACCAGCACCATCCTCGGAGATAACTCATGACACGCGGTACATAAAGAAGTTTCAAACGCACCCACACACGTCCCTTTCCCATTTCTCCCTTCCTTCCCGCTCATCCCATACATCACACCTCACTTGCTCAGACCTCTTCGCAAACCCTCCCAAATGCATGGTAGGAGCTTGGTTAGTTAGTTAGTTGTTTGGTTTGTTGGTTAGTTGGTTAACAGGTAGGCCACAACGCTCCGGCCGATCGATCGAGCTAGAGAGAGAGAGAGATGAGATCGTTTGAGATGAGCTGGGTCAGGTTTTAGATTCTGAAGATCTAGCCCTTCCAGCCTTTGATGTAGCTCGTGCGTAGTCACTTGCGCTCGGTTCTTGGGGAGATGGACTCGAATAGACTATACCGGACTAGACTAGACTACGCTAATTGGCACTGACCTATTCCTCCTCCTCCTCCTCCTCCTCCTCGGGGCGCAAGTCTTCGTATAACGGGCCGTATAATCTATACCGCAGCGCCAAGTTCTTTTTTGGAATGGATGAGTATGTAAGAAAGATGGCTCGGAAAATTCAAATCGAGTGAGTGAGTAAGTCGGAGCTGCCGCCACCGTTATATCGCCACGTGCATGCGTGCCTGCGTGGAAATCCTTTGGTTTCTTTCAACTCTTTGTCTTTTCACCTGTGCGAGTAGGGTTGGCTAGTAAGATTTCAATTTTTGAATTTGGGGTGAGGAAATGTATGATGCCGTGGTTTGATTTGTAAAAGGGGAGAGATAAAGACAGAGACAAAGATGGAAACAAAGACTGGGCATAGGCAGAGACAGAGACAAAGACAAAGACAGAGGCAGAGACAGAGAGACAAAGGCAGAGACAGAGAAAAAATGTTCTTTTCCATCCACCGATTTCGCTTAAAGAGAAAGAGTAACAATGAATTCATCCGATACAATATTGATTGACCTTCTCGCAAAGTGCATGCATTCATTATCATCGTCGTCATCATCTGAAATTCCAAATTCAAATCAAAACAACTACGTAGATCCGGTCTCGTACAGTCCTACATTGAAACATCGAAACACCTCATCGCTCGATGTGTATGCGGCTGTCATATTGCCATGGCATGCCATGCCTATACCCGACGTCGTCTGATCATAGAAATCAATAAATAGCAAGAAGAGAAAATTCCATCATCGCGCATATACGAATGACGAAAATAACAGGACTACAAGCAAGAATTTAAAACTAGAACGAGAAAGATAAAAAGTCTTGTATTCATTCTAGGTATACGACGTTATACTATACTACACGATACCATGTCACGACACCCTCCTTCGTTATCGTATCATGAATAATAGTAAAGAAAAGCACTTGTGGGCAGAGAGAGGTCTGAGGCCAAGTAAAGTAGTGATCAAGTGGCTTTTCTTTCTATAAGCTGCTGCCGCAACGCTTTAGGATGGATCCCGGACCTTCACCTGGCTGACTTCGGTCCGGCTTTGACCCACCTCGCTCTGCGACTCGCAACTGCTAGGCTTCCAAGTCTGCGGTGGCATACACTTTGCCTTGCGTTTTGGTTCCTCACCCTATCAAAACTCTCTCTTTCTGTGATCCATCCTAACCGTAGGGGAAGGGCGCAGTCGATGGCAGCCACGCTGCACCACTTTGATATGCTTTCTAAGGCTGTCTTGTATGTAACTCGTTAGCTCAGCACGTCGCCGTACCCTATGAGAGGTCCCAGGTCGGCAGGCTTCGCCTACTACCCGCCCAACGTCAATCAATACTACTCCTACTACTACTACCACTACTACTACTACGTAGGATAGATCCCTTCTCTAAACTAAGAATCTTACTTCCCGCTCTTCCCTTTCCTGGGACACCGACTACAGTACTTACTGTACGAATAGCTATTTCAGTACTACGTATCTGCACTGGCATATCTCATGACACACAACGCGGTGTGTGCGCGAGCTGGCTGGCTGGCTGGCTGGCTTGCGTGATCTGAAATAAAACGTCTTATCGGCAAAAGCGGGCTTGTGCATAAGGGTTATCAAGAGTTCTAGCGATTATGCAATGCATAGCAAGGAATATATGCGTATATGCGTATATGCATGCGAGAGAAGGAGAAGATAGAAGAAGAAGGAAGAATAAGCGAAAAGAGCAGAAACCCAAAGTCGATGGCAATCTTGACGATAATGCATATGTTGAATATGGATTTGAATTTGGATCAAGGGAATCTGCATGCAGTATTCGTGTTGGTTGATCAGATGAGGCCGGCGCGTGGTCAACGCTCAGATGTTGATATCTTAGGCGTATAGTTCAGTGGACTTTTCTCTTCCCTTCTGATTTGCTTTCTTTCCTCTTTGAACTACTTTATGTGGCTTTTTTCTATACTATAATATACTGTAATTTTTACTACGTATATGAGCGCCAGACCTGACCGGCCCAAGCAGAAACAGAGTTACTTCCACTCTCCGCTTCAAAACAATGCATTGAGCATGTTGTCAAAAACTTAAGCAGGGCAAAGATGGGAACGTGCAACTGGATGTACAATATACCCCGTCCATTGTAGTAGTATATGGGGATGAGCGGCGCATGAAACGGACAGGTCTCACTACAACCCCTGATCATCCCGCTGTCAAAGTGCTCCTCTACGGAGTACGGTACTTACCACTTACTCATTGCGCCTCCGTCTGTACTGCCACCTGATGTGCGTCGTGAAGACCGAGCTGAGAACACCTCTCCACGAGAAACCGGCGCAGGAAAGAAAAAGGAAAGAAAGTATCAACCATCTTGCAGATATATGCAAGCAACAAGCAAGGAAGTGTGCAGCTTGCTTGTCTCAGCCCCTCGCTTTCGCGATGCAATCCAATATGGGATTCTTATTGATAAGAGGCGCAAGTAAAAACAGTGCATGAAATAGATCGCTGCGCAAAGATGGATATAGGCGGTTGGTTCGCAAGAAACAGCTATCACGTCACGACCGTGATGCTGCACGAACACGAATATATTTCATAGTGAGACTGAGAGGCCGTAGGGTTACGGGCAGTGCAATCAATGACTATCATGATGAACGAGATGGTAAAACGGACTAACAATTCAGGGGCCCAGGGTACGGGACTACGGGCCACCGCGCCACGGCCCTTGGTGCCCCCTGCTCACGCAATACTTACTGTACAATACTTACTGTAGATAGAGTTTCCTCTCGACAGCCTCAGTCCTGGCTAGGGATACTTTGAGCTTGCTCGGGTCCAGGGGGCTCACGCGCGCGGGTACGACGCGGCCTCGGCCTCTGCCTCCCCAGTCCCTACCACTTTCAAATATCAAAATACACTAAGCAGAATAAACTTGGAGGTACTACTACGATGTAAAATAGAGTAAACTGAGAGGTAAAGCGACCACGGAAGAACGTCATCCGGAAGTAAGAATGTATCCCCTGAGCTAGCAGGGTTTTGCCTATACAGTAATCAACAGCCTGAACCACTCGTATCGCTGCCCGTATCTGTCTGTTTACATTTACGCGATGCGAAAAGCTAAATAAAACCTCATTTTGTATATTATGGCTGGGATCTGAAAATCAATGGAGCAAAAAAAATGAAGAACACAGACTTGGTCTGCCTCCGCAAAATAGAGACTCGGATTCGTATTTCTGTCAATCAAGCATGCAAAATTCATGAAGTCTTCCCCACTCATGTCCACTAGGTAAACGACAAGCTGCTCAAGCTGCTCTCCCTGCGGCCAAGAGCGACGGGCCCGGATTCGGAAAGGCTTGTTGTCTGATCTCGAGGAGGCATCGGGGTCGTGCATATTTACTAGTTGTAGTACCTATTTGTTTATTTATGGGCGCACCGGCCGCTTGGAGGCAGCTTTCCAATACTACCCTTAAGCCAATTAGCCTAAATGAGAGCGTGAGAGACACAACGACAAAAAGAAAGGAAAAAAACCCTCTCACGCCACCTCCACCTCTACAGGCGGTCGGTCGGTCGGCGATGATTGAAACGCCAGCCGCCAATTATGGATCTCGGGGTGGCTTAAGCCACGCTCGCCCGTTCTCTTCTCTCTCTTCAGCATTGGCCTGGCCGTAAATCAAACACTCAAATTGCTTCGAGTGATTTGAATTTGCAGTCTGAGCATAACGGTCTGATCAAATCATCCTTTGTCCCTCCATTCTGGACCCGCCCTGAGAGCCGTAGACACTTTTCTCCCTTTCTGCAGAGCCAGGGATCCCACAGCCTTGGGCTCGGATAGAACCCTACCCACTGGCCTCAGGGTGTGCCCGCCAAAAAGACCCATCTCCGGCTTTGCTGGATGGTCGCTCTAGCTCAAGACTCGAGCGGGTGCTAAATTGGAATTTTCTTCCATGGAGTCTTCAAAGAAGCCGAGGGCAACAAAGGCAGCGGCGGGCTCGCTCTGATCCGTGGCATTCACGTTTGCCCCCATGTGCCAGCCACGTTCGAAGGAGGAGGAGGGGACAAGCTTCGGAGAAAGATGGCCCGTTCCCCACAGAGCCCGGTTCTCCATCTTGGTCGAAACGGATCTGCGTCTGAAGGAAATATTGGCAAGAAATAAGACAGCTTAATCGCCCAAGACAACTCGGCTTTTGCGCCCCCCCGTGCCTTGACTTGCCACACAGAATGGACCTCAAGCTTTGTGTCTCCAGCATAGACCAATTCCAAAACGGTACGTATGGCATCAGAGGGCCGTAGCTCAATGGGAAAACGCTGATATATAAGAGGGGGGATCGCTTCGTCAACAACCCATCAATCCAACAACATCAACACTAAATCAACAGTCAGTCACACACACATTCATTCACTTCTCGAACACTCTTTCGATTTTCGATCAGTCCTTGGATACTCTACCTCTTTTTCGATATTCTACCAATACATCGCATCTCTACCAATCTTTCGAATCTCGACCAATCTATCACTTCTCTACCAATCCATCACTTCTCTACCAATCCACCACCTCTATACCAATCCTTAGCTTTTTAATAGCATAATACGCAAAATGTCCGACTACGCATCATCCAGAGACTCCAGCCCCTGCCGCTCAGTGCGCAGCGCTTGCTCAGACATCGTTGACACCCCCGACACCGCGCGGTCGGTCCTGTTCGATGACCGCCTCGACGAGGAGTGGCAAGCTGACCCCGAGTACATCCTGGTCGTCGGAGGGCTTGGATACATTGGAAGCCACACCTGCTTAGAGCTGTTGAAGGCCGGACAGAACGTCCTGATCATCGACAACCTGAGCAACTCCTACAACAGCGTGTTCGAGCGCATCTCCTCGCTCGCAAACAAATACCACGAGGAGCGATGCCAGACCACCCCCCTGATGCGATTGTGCGAAGCCGACTACCGCAACGAGACCGCCATCACCGACATCCTCGGCGAATACGTCAAGCCAAATGGACCCAACGGCACCTACATCGAGGGTGCCCCCATGCAATCCTCGATCAAGGGCGTTATCCACTTTGCCGCGTACAAATCTGTCTCCGAGAGCATCACCAACCCCCTGAAGTACTACTCCAACAACGTAGCTGGCCTCGTTGGCTTCTGCTCGGTGTTGAGCGACTTCAACATCAAGACGCTCGTCTTCTCCTCTTCCGCGACCGTATACGGCACCGTCGCCAACTCGGGTCGGCCCCTGCGCGAGGAGGACTGCACCCACCAGGCCGAGACCTTCGTCGACCAGGACGGCGCCGCCCGGACCACAGAAGGCGGGTGCACGGGCTTGACCAACCCATACGGACGCAGCAAGTGGATGTGCGAGGCGATCCTCTCCGACCTGGCGCTAGCCGACCCCGACTGGACCATTCTAGCTCTTCGCTACTTCAACCCCGTCGGCTGCGACGAGTCGGGCCTGCTGGGCGAAGACCCTCGCGGCGTTCCCACGAACCTCATGCCCGTCGCCGTGCGAGTCATGACGGGCGCCTCGGCTGAGCTGAATGTGTTTGGCACGGACTACCCCACCCCGGACGGTACCGCGGTGCGCGACTTCATCCACGTCACGGATCTGGCCAACGGCCACGTAGCCGCGCTCTCTTCCGCCGCAGCGGGCCGCGTCTCCCGGGGCTTCCGCACGTACAACCTGGGCTCCGGCACCGGATGCTCCGTATACGAGGTCGTCGGCGCCTTGCAGGCCGCGTCGAAGAAGACAATCCCCTTGAAGGTGTCGCCGCGCCGCGAGGGCGACGTGGGCAGCTGTGTCGCGATGCCGTTGAGAGCGGAGCTCGAGCTGAACTGGAAGACGAAGAAGACGCTCACCACCTGCTGCAGGGACATAATGAATTTCTTGGATCTTTCAAAGGACGCGCCGGTGATGGCTTAATGTGGTATTGTAATGCTGGATTTCGTTTATTTAAAAAAAAATTCTCCCTGAGCGGATCTGATGGCGAAACAGACGCCCTGCAAATGTTACATTGGCTCAGTAGTAATAGTTATAGTCATAGCAATATGAAGATTTATATATACCTTGGTTGCATACTTAACATGACGTGATGAGATGTGATGATGATGTGGTGTCATTGAAATGGGTTGTTGTAACGTTGCTATTGCTCGACGTTTCCTTAAGGTAAGAAAGAAGGCTAATAACCGAGCGCCACTAAAAACACGTCGTGTCCTCTAGTCACGCACATCGATCGTTGTACCAGAATCCTAAATTTGCATTCTTGTGCTCTCATTTTTTTTATATACGAACCCGCATGACAAAGAATGCCCGATTGTGCCTTTTCCCGTTCGCAGCCAACAACATGTTAAGCGAGGGGTGAATAACAGACACTTCAAATGCTGAAAAGACCCGGCGCTACTGGGAGAATGGGAGTAGTCCTGTAATGATCTGAATTACTTGTTGTGTGCTCGCGCGACAATCTGGGTAGAATTAAGCGCACGTGGCATGAAAAAAAAAAAAAAAAAAAAGGCACAATAACATATCGCCTGGGATGAGGGTGGGTCAAGCTAATTTGTAAGTTAGCCAATAGCAGCTAGCAGCAGAGAAAAGAGGAGGGGAAATCCCAGGTCAGAAATGTACCCACATGTCTCTGTGAAAATATGTTATTTCCAAACAATGACATTGAGCAAGGATCCAATCGTGCGAAACTCCGATTGCGTCAGCTAAGGCCTTTGTCGAACGGGCAAGTGAGCAGAACAAAAGGGATATATATATATATATGACCTTGTCATTTACTAAAACTTCTAAGGCTTCGACGAAGATTATACTGCGCAACGAGGCCGTCTTGCAATCCACGAGGTAGCCATGACTATCTCAAAGCCGCCCCCAAAGCAGGCCAGAGTCGATCTCTGCACGAAGCACAGAAGCCAATCAATCGCTGTAAATACCGGCTGGCGATCTGTATTGACGAGACGGCCGTCTGATTAAAATGCAGTAGGCTCTTGATGACTAGCTGGAGAGCTTGGAGTGATGGAGTGATGGCCGACCTTCGGTAATTCGCTTAGCAAAGCAAAGTAAATAAACAACATATGCCATTTTCCGCTTGACTTTTTACGGCATGTAAATCAATACCGTGGAAGCTTTGAAGATATATTTATGTATACCAAGGGATTTATACTTTTCAAATCGACTGCCACGGCACATTTATCCCGTGGTATCGCCCAGCGGAGTAGTTATAATTGATTTTCGAGAATTGAAAGTTTTATACCATCACAGCATATACATATTTTACCAACTGTGAGTGTTTCAGACGACGTTTGGACCTAAGGATGGGAAGAGGTGAGTAAATTGTATACATTGATTAGTCTTTTGGATCCAGCATCTCGGGACATCCGTCTAGTCTATTCATTAATATCATATAAATTCATACACGTTATCATCGTCCACCCCCCTCCTCCCCCATTTTCCACCCTCAATCCCGCATTCGATTCACCGACCACCGCTTCAGCACCACCTCTCTCACCCTGTACCTGGCCAGGACGCCCGCAATCCCCAGCTCCCGCTCCCGCTCCGCACTCACCGGCGCAGGAATATCAACATACGTCAGCATCAGCGTCTTCTTCACCTGCGTCACCACGCGGTTGATGCAGCTCATCCACGCCCACGTCCTCTGCTCTTTGGCCTTCGCGTACTGCGCAAGCGCCTCGGTGGAGCGCCAGTACGGATCTGAGTACGACGGCAGGACCAGCACGCAAAACTCGGCGTGCGTGAAGACCGGCCCGCGCAGGTAGAGCATAAAATCGACGGAGAACTTGATCCCCGGGCGTACGACCCAGCCGAGGGACCGGAAGTGGTGGTACACGACGTAGTTGGTTGTGAAGGGGTCGTCGGGGCTGAGGGCTGGGGTTAGGAGGGGCGGGAAGGTGGAGGTCTGGCGGCATAGGTGGAACAGCTCTGTGTTTGGGATGGGAAGGTTGGTGGAGGGGGAGAGGACAGTGAGGGCGCCGAGGGCGTAGGAGAGGAAGAAGGTTTCTTCAAGAGTGAGCTGCATGTGTTCTTGGTTTTTGGCGATTGGGGGTTCTTCTGAGGTGGTGTCGGATGTTTCTGAGATGGTGGCGGTTGTTCCTGAGGTGGTGGCGGCTGTTGTTAAGGCTCGTTCTGGACTTGGAGGCTCGCCCTGCATGAACGTGTTCTGCTCGACGGTAGGCGAGAACCGAACGCTCTTCTGACGTTTGATCCCGGGGGTTATGGGGCTTCCACTGATTGGAGTTGAACCAGTGTCGGTGGTGTCTGTTTTCTCCTCAGAGCGAAGAGATCCACCCATGATCTCATCATTCGTCTCGGAGCCGCCTGTAATATTTGACACTTCCAGCGCTGAGTTATTGGTCTTAGGAGCTCTGGGCTTGGCTTGGTTGTCTTGTGGCCCCAGAATGGCAATGTTGATGATATTGGCATCGGCGTGGCCATTGGGTTGGGATTTAGAGATCAGGTCGGATAGGGAATCTTGGCTCTTTCGTGGTGTAACTGGCAGATGCAAATTGGTAGGCAGATGCGACTTGTTTTGCAGATGCGACTTGATACAATTTGGGAGAGCTAGCAGTTCTAATGGTCCAACTGGATAGGTGGATAGCCTCTGAACAGACTTCTCGTCGACATCTTTTGCAAAGCATTGGCCCTTGGCCCTTGGAGGATTGTCCCGTTTGGTCTGGGAGTTTGGCAGCGCCAGTATTTCCATAGGACCGACTGGCGCAGTGGGCTCGGGATCTTGTTGTACTGTGGATTCAATTGGATACATCGCCACAGAATCTACCTCAGTCCAGCTATCTTCGCTAATCGCATCTTCAATAGCTGCACCCGACTGCGAGGCAGCTTCAGCCTCTTCCTGCAGCGTGACTTCAATGGCCTCTCTCTCCTTTCTTGCGCGCTCCCACTTGGTGGCTTGCCGCTGCGCACGTCTCGCCCTGGTGACATCCTCAAGCCTCATATTTTTCTTTTTGTTTCCTAGGCGGGTGTTTTCTCGGTCGAGCCATGTGGGTTCACTGCGACTAAGGGTCCCCTTTCCATAGAACCCCTGCTCCCACAATCCTCGAACCGAACGCGCGTCCGTGACGTGGACTGATCGCGTATCCGGGGAGAGCCAACCCTGGAAGACTGGGTTGCTGTGTGAGGGCGTGGGTTTGATAGATTGGGAGACCCAGATGTAGAGGATGTGGAAGAGGGAGAGGGGATTGTGGGGGACAAAGGTCGGGAGAGGGAAGGTTCGCAGAGGGGTTGGAAGGGCATAGAGCTTGTTCAACTGTTCGAGGCGCGAGGGGCCGCGGACTCTCGGGGGTGCTAGGGGTTTGGGTAAAGCCTCGGGGGGTATGCCCTGGTCGGAAAGGGTTATGGCCTGGGAGGGGGCTGTGGAGGCAGATTCTATGCCCTGGTCGGAGGGGATCGTGACCGTAGTGTCTGCCATGATGAAGGGACGGGGCTACCGGGGAGTCATGGCTAAAACCTGCGACTTCGAGATGTTAGCGAGGTTTCTTGATTCCTGCCATTTTGATAGTGAACCATTTTTTGTTGATTGAATGCTCAGATACCGTTGTAGTCTTCTCCAAAGAGAATATCGCCAACATGAGAGAACGGCACAAAGTCAGAGGCCGTTCTCCTAGGCATCGAAGGTGTCATCACTGCATGCACGACCGTCACGGCCGTCTCTCTCCAATCTGCGGCGGAAGGGATGATGACTTACCGTTGGGGATGGTTCCTCTCGAAGCGGTCGACAGCGTGGTCGATGTCGATAGGAGGTGGTGGTTGTGGTTGTAATTGAGGTTGTGGTTGAGGTTGTGGTTGAGATTGTAGTCGTGGGTATTGGAACGAGACGAAATCCAATTTTTCAGTAGCGCGAGATCATCTGACTATATCACGTGGTACCACTGTCTACATCACGTGTATTCTCAACTCAATCCTCAATCCTCAGTCCTCAGTCCTCAGTCCTCAATCCTCAATCCTCAATCCTCAATCCTCCATTCTCTTTCAATTGCCACACCGCCCTCGCCTTCTTCGCCGTGTTCGCCCTCAGATTCTCAGCCTAATCGCCGCTTTCCGAATGCCCTCCTCCTCCCTCTTCTCCTCGAGGACCTCACCCGCGGCTGTCGCGTATGGAGAACGAAATCTCCCTAGCCCTCTTCGGCGTGGCCTCGGCCGGCGGCATCTGGTTCCTCTTTATTGTGGTTGTCCAAGCCATCGGAACGCTCCAATTGTAAGTACTTGAAAGAAAGGCTTTATTGGCGATCTTCCACCAAGCCCGCAGATCCGATGCATTCCGCATTTAATATAACGATATAACGATATACCAAAATATGCTATATCTCATCTTAATCACGTCGTACATCAATCATCCTTCACATTATTTTATACGCCACCTCTTATACCAGCTTTTACATCTCATCACCTTTTACTCCGTGCACCAATATCCAATCTACTCGTCCATATATTAACACATCTCCTCCAGGTACCGCCGGTACTCTGCCAGGCCTATTCCAGCTGTCTCTCCCACCCAGAACATCGACTATGTCCCCCATATCACTATCTTGCGACCGGTCAAGGGCCTCGAGCCGCAACTCTACGAATGCTTGGCCGCAACGTTCCACCAGACTTACCCGCTAGAGAGGCTCACCATCTACTTCTGCGTCGCCTCCTCTGCTGACCCGGCCTACCCTGTCCTGCAACGACTCCTGTCCGACTTCCCCGAGTTCGACGCCAGGATCTTCGTCGAGGAGGAAGACCCCAACCTCAGTGGCAAAGGGAAACACACCAACCTGGGTCCGAATCCGAAGATACGGAACATGAGCAGGGGATATCGAGAAGCAAAGGGGGATTTGGTCTGGATCGTCGACTGCAATGTCTGGGTCGGCAGAGGCGTCGCCGGTCGCATGGTCGACAAGCTGTGCGGCTACACACATGATGGAAAGCCCGCGACACCGTACAAATTCGTACATCAGCTCCCCCTCGTCGTCGATAGCGTTGGAGCCAGCGCCAGCGAGGAGGCTCGCGGGCTGCTGCAAGGCCTCGGCTGCGAAAGATCCACAACCAGCACTTCCCCTCCCGTCGACGAGTCCTCCTTCTCCCGACTGATCCGTACCAGCGGCGGCCGCCTCGAGGAGATGTTCATGGCAACCTCCCACGCCAAATTCTACACGGCCATCAGCACCGTTTCCGTCGCCCCCTGCATTGTCGGCAAGTCCAACATGTTCCGGCGCTCCCACCTCAACGCGCTCACCACCAGCCCTGTGAACAAGTACTCCCCGGGTATCGATTTCTTCTCGGAAAACATATGCGAGGACCACCTGATCGGCGATCTGCTCTGGCGGAACCGTATCCCAGACGTCCTCTCCAACGGCCAGAGATTCAAGAACCACGGCCTGGTGTTTGGGGATCTGGCGATCCAGCCCATGGCCAACATGTCACTCAGCGAATACATCGCCCGGCGGGTCCGCTGGTTGCGGGTACGGAAGTGGACCGTAATGCTCGCGACGTTTGTAGAGCCGGGCGTTGAACCGCTGCTGTGTTCCGCGTACGGCGCCTTCGCCATCTCCACGCTACCGTACTTCCCCTTCCCGCACACCTGGCTCTCCTTCTCTATCGCGTGGCTCTCCATCATACTCCTCTGGATGAAAGTCGACTCCCTCGTCTACGCGAAGGTACACTCGGGGTCCGGCTTGGAACTAGATGCCGACACGCCGTCGTTTGCGCGTCCACCTGCATCGGGCAGTCGGAGGGGCATGTGGGAGTGGATCGCTGCATGGCTTGGGCGCGAGGTGCTGGCGTTGCCGATCTGGACATGGGCCTGCTATGGTGGGACGACGGTGGTATGGCGGGGCAAGAAGTTCCGAGTAGGCTTGGACATGAAGGTCCGGGAGATTTCCAAGACGCAGGAGGGCAGGGGGACACCCATGCTGGAGAGGGCGCGCTGTAGGGATAGTATGCAGAGTAAGAGTAGAGTCGATTGATACCCAATCATACCCGTGATATATAATACATTAATGTCTACTGTTCCTTCACGTCTGTCGAGTGAGTGGGTGGGTGCACCCAGGACGGTAGTGGTTAACTGTGTCGAGAGACTTTAAAGCACGGGACCCTAGCGCAGCGCAGTGTCGAAACTATTCATCCCTGAGGAGCAAAACACGGCAATAGATGGTGTCCGAGACTGACGGGGAAAGGAGCCTGGAAAGAGAACGATGGGTACGTCGAAGGCTTGCCGGTTCAAAAGCGAGGAAGGGGATAGAAGAAGAGGAAGAGGAAGAGAAAGAGAAGGAGACTGAGAACGAGGAGCGCAGGAGGGCGAGGCAGAGGCAGAGGGAGAGGGCGGGTCTTTCCGTTTTCGAGAGAGTAGAGGTTTGTTTTGCTTTGTCGCTTATTCGCTCGCTTACTAGCGCCGATGTTAAAGGAGACGACAGATGTTGAAGACGATGAGAGATGTTGAAGACGACGACAGATGTTAAGCGAGTATGGTGAGAAAGAGGGTATTCTTGGATGGTGGTATTTGGAAAGTGAAAAGGGGGTTTGGGGATGGTTGGTGGAGGTGTGGGAGAATTTGTATGGATTGGTTGATGTTTAGCTCTTGAGATGATGATTTGGGGGGGAGGGGGGGTTTGCTAAGAGGGTGTCTTTAGGGAAGAGGGAGGGTAGATATGAACAAATGGATGAATGAATGAGCCTTGCTTGTTGTTTCATTGGTAGCTAATCAGGCTTATAAGTCAAGTCTATAGGTAGAAGATTACCACGGTACAGGCCTAAGTATTACCCCTCGAGGGCGCCTCAAAAGTTTAGTTCCACTTTAAACTCCCTGGTTACCCTACCCTCGAGGGGTAATACTACGTACTTAGGCCTGTACCGTGGTATGTGTGTGAAGTTTAAATTATATATACATTCGGCATTACCCCTGCAACCAACAAACTTACAATTTGAATCCTCCCGTAACTTTCTTCTGGAAGAATCCTTCCGGGTCGTACTTGGCCGAAACCTCCCGCAAGAACGCCACATTCTCCGCCCCGTACGAGCCGATGGGGTCCTGCGACGGGTTCGCGTAGTTGAGGTACCGGAAGGGGGTATCCTGTCCCGTGGCCTTGGCGTACGCCTCGATCTCCGCCGTGGCCTCTGCCAGCCGGGCATCCATGCGGCTCTCGTCCTCGGCCGTGCCCACCAGGGCCTGCAGCTGGAACAGGATGGAGTTCTGGGTCAGCGAGGTGTCCAGGCCGAGGACGTTGGTGCCGGGCGGCACGCGGGTCGCGAACTGCGTCGGGAGGGGCTGGTAGACGAAGATGACGTTGATGGCTCCGGGGGCCTGGTCGGCGAGCTCGGCGACGATGGTGTCGTAGACGGTCGTCGCGTGCTGGATCATGTCGTGGGTGTTGTGGAAGCTGAGCGTGTACCAGATGCTGCGGAGGGCCCCGGGGCTCTGGATGCTGCGGGTGAGGTTGCTCATCGAGGTGGGCGCGCGGGTGTTGACCAGGGCCGTCATGTTGCCGAGGGGGGCGAAGGTTGTCGAGTTGCCGTTGCCGTCGACGCTCATGGAGGTCAGGGCGAGGTTCGGGCTGGGGGTGCCGCTGGTGTACACGAAGGTGACGAACAGCGCATCGTCGGGGTTGGCGTCGTTGATGTCGATCGCGCGGACGACCAGGTTCACGAGCGCGTCCTTCTGGCTGTAGTCGAAAGCGGTCGTGCCGCCAAAGAAGCCTCTCGAGGGCCAGGTGTTGAGATCGAAGCGTGTGACGATCCCCAGGTTGTTGCTGCCGCCTTTCAGGGCCTTGAAGAGGTCGGTGTTGTGTTCTCGGTTAGCCTCAACGATTTCACCACTTGCGAGGACGACCTGTCGAGGCATTAGTAAGAGAGCTGCTTCGTGAGGTCTTGCAAAGAGCCAGTTTGGAAGCTCTTCCGTAAGATCTTGCAAAGAGACGAGCTTACCTGGTAGTTGATAACGCCATCGCAGGCCAAGCCACGACGTCCGGAGTGGAAAGAGAAGCCTGGTTAGTGTTAGCCTTGGAGTTATAAACGACTTCAAAGTGTTGCTTGTGTGAGCCTTGTAGTTATACAAGACTTCCAAGAACGTTGATTCAGAATATCACATACCACCACCCTAGATCGCGGAGAGTCAGCATTTTCCACAGAAAGCTGCAGGGAGTGATCTAACAGCGCCTCGAAATCGGACTTGATCAAGGGAATGACGGGACGAAGGAGAGATGAAAGTGACCCCCAAAACTTACCAGAAGCAAACCCGAAACGCCAACATCACTGTCGCGACCCCCAGCCACAGTCATGCCGTACTTTTCCACCTCATCATAGACAGCGCCCCATTTGGCTCCAGCTCCAACGGAAGTGATGCCCTGTCAACCATATGCAATCAGCGCCGCGATCCTCAACCATGCCGAACACGATGAGAAACAAAGAGGATCTCAGGACAGTGACTTACGCCGTCGGCATCAGCATCCTTGCAAATTTCGCACGCGGATGTGCACGCCTCGAAGCTGGTCGCGTTCATGACACTCAGGTCGATGACCACGCCCTGCTCTACGTTGGCGGCGCCTGGGAAGACGGCGTGGCCACCTCCCCGGACGGCCACCGCCCAGCCGGCACCTCCTGCCTGGCCCAGCGTCGTGACCGCCAGCGCGACCTCCTCTGGGGTCTGGGGGCGGAGGATGCACGTGGGCCGTACTACCTGCACCGACACGGAGTAGTAGGATGAGATGCTCTCATTATACTGTGCATCGGAAGGGTAGAAGAGGATGGAGCCGAGACCGGCGTCAACGAGGGGAGAGCACTTGGGTCTTGTCAGAAGGTGAGGGTCGGGCGCGCGGGGGGGTTCTGGTACTGACCGCTGTTGTGTTTGTTGTAGGGTAGTTTCTCAAGGCTAGTGAATCGGCAGGTGTTGCTGAGATTGGCTCTGTCAGTAGAGCCGCTCCCGCGAGCATCCAGCTGATGGTAGGAAGCATTGTTGTTGGAGATCGGGTAAGTTGTTTGCTTCGAACACGCTGATATATACTACGTCCCAGGCCTAAGTATCACCCCTCGAGGGTAGGGTAACCAGGGGGTTTAAAGTGGAAACTAAACTTTTGAGGCACCCTCGAGGGGTGATACGGTACTTAGGCCTGTACCGTGGTACATTCCCGCCCTTCCGCCGTTCCGCCGTTCCGCTGTTCCCCAAAAAACCTTCGTGAATTAAAGGCCTCATTACGGAGTAAATGCCAACCTTAATTTCGACCAGGATCTCCAACCAACGGGATTGTCAAGATTTAGCCTCTACAATTCTCGGAAGTCGAATACGGAAGTTTGATCGTCTTCTCGACCATTGCAAAGCCACCATTCGACCAGTACAACTACCGGGATTCGAGTTTGGATAAACGTCTATGACGAATACGGGACGACACTGACCCACTCACTCACTCAGCCCTCCTCCCCAAGAAAGACATTACCATAGTTTCTTCCCGATTATACGAACACATCCTCGTGATAGTCCCACGAGCAGATCTCTCAAGCCCTTAATATCCAACCTCTTCGAACAACCCTCTATGGTAAGGTGTACTTGTCTTGTCTGGGAGAAGAAAGAAACAACCCAATGAAATCGCCAACCAGCTCCCGTATGCCCAAGCCTTCGGCCCGCTCGGAAGCAATCAAGCAGGGCCCACGAAACGAAGAAACCGTCTGCAGGGTCCAAGCGTGAACCCGAAAGCCCTACCCCCCACATCATTTGTTCAGCCCAGAAAATCGAGGGGTCGCTGGCGTCGATGACTCATACCGTATAGCAGCGAATCGCGAAATCCTAACTGCTTCATGCAAGGCTGCCAGTATATCTCTTCTTTCGCCTTAATCTAGCAACCTTTGTATTACAACCGAACTTCAAGAATTGCCCCAATTATTAAGAGGTCCCTACAGGTGGCAGGACATCCTGCAGATGTACTTTGAGGTGTTAAGTACAGATGACACTCCGTGCCCAGGCTGACTGATTCGTTTACTTACTTTGGGACAATCGCCCCCTGGAGTTAAGCGAGGTTGTAGATAAACAAACAAAAGAATAAACAAACCTCCGCACCTAGCGGCCTCTCACCTCCAGAGTTCCAGAGGGGCAATGATACGGAGATCCGAACCACAGATACAGATGTACTGGCAACTTCCTATCTCCTCTGTCAAGCAAAGGGTAGATGGCTAGGTAGAGGCAATCTACGGAGCAAGGGGCCGGCTCGGTTAACTCCCGCTAGCAATATTTACACTGGAATTTTTTCTTTTTGGAGCGAAGACACGAATGAGACGGGCAAGGGAAGTGGGTATCTGATGTCTAGACGAACATGATGAAGTCGAGAATTGCGCATAGGCAGGGCTGAGTTCTCTGGGCTACGAGCTAGCATCATCCATCCATCAGTTACGCCCGGAATTACTGGGAGCTCATCTTTGACTTATAACTTGTAACTTATAACTTCGAACCTGCAACCTGCAAAAGGATCAAGTCAAAAGACTTCATTTGAACCTGAGATTCTTTTGCGATTCTCCGGATCATACTTACCTCTCCTAGACATGCTGATCGTTCGTAGCTGTCCCTCATCAATTCATAACGCAGACCAATGTTACTCGAAGGATGAGACAAATTGCCCTTTTCATATCCTCTTACCATCTTTCTTATTCAATCCAAGAACAAACGAACGAACGAAAAGATGAGCCAAAAGAAAAGAAAAAGAAAAAGAAAAAGAAACGCGAAGAATACAAAAAAGAAAAATAACCACGATATCCATACAGAACACCTAGTCGTCGCTTACCTTGAATTTAATTCGTAAAAAATCCCGACCTGGCTGCGCCACGTCGGCACCACCAAGGCGGGACAGTAACGGTATACCACTTATTAAACAACAACTTCAATACCGTACTATCCCCCTCCCTGAATAAAAGACGAAAAGTATATTTTTACTAGGGGTTGACCAGGGGGTTGTACTGTAACCCCAACGCTTGGGAAGCAGTTCCTTAAGAATTCATTATTTCTATATATAATTCGTAGTAGAATCGATATCAAGCAATGATTGATGCTCAAGGAAGACTTACCAAATAGTAGAAAATTAATACATACGTTATTTTGCTACATTTGATAAGCGGTCAGCTTTAAGGTCAAAATATGCTTTCACCAAGTGGGTCCGTCGTTTATTCAGGGAGGGGGATACTTACTGTAGTATATTTGTAAAAAAAAAGGTTATATATATGCTTACAAAACTGAACTTTACAAACGTAAATTAAGAAAATAAATATGCATATTTTGAGTGATCTAATAAATTAAAAGGTAGTGAAAGTATAGCTAAAAACCACCCCCAGTAAGTCAGCATTACTTCTTTGCTTCGAATATCTGAACAACCACAACCTTAATTTTTTTTTTAAAAAAAAACGTCCTATTGATCGAAAATAATTGATCTAATCTATTAAATTACTAAATGTATTAATTATTAAATAAAAGTTGGTAGTGATGCACGTATTCTTATAATAGGTTTAAATAAAAGTCCGATTTTCGTGTTCTTCGCTTATTCTAGTATTTACACGGCAATTCTGATATGTGTGCACTAGTAAAGTCGAAAAGTACCTTAAAGGGTAGTAGGGGGTCATTTAAATGGTCCTCTGATCCTCTTTTATAAGAGTCATTTCCCAAATGGAATCGTTTTAATAATAATTTAATGAATTCGACGCTAAGATATTTCTCGGTATCGCTGCTACGGCTTGTATATCAACGCTTTAATTTTTTTGTAATAGGAATCGATCGATTTAACAGAAGTTCTCGCGCGTTGACGCACATCTTTCGACCGTGGAAGGGATGATGTGGCAAGGGGGTGGTGTACCTAGTAGAGGGTAGACTAGCAAGTAACAGAAAAGAAAAAAAAATATTTGCTTATTAATTTACGTTTTCGAAGACGGTTTCAGGTTCGGAGACGGCCTTATCTGTTGTTGTTGTATTTACTACGTATTAACGTCGGGCGGGTATTCAAAACGCAATACTTAGACCCTGGAGACCTTTTATAAGGTACGGGGACGTGCTAAATAAAGGAATTATAAACAAAGTCTATTTAATCAGAAGTAAAAACTATATTAAAGAAAAGCTTTCGTCAAATATCTGAACACTTATAAACCTTTTAAAAGCAATTCATAATGCTATGCGTCGAGTTAACTTTCGATAATTGTCGAATACGTATAGCCTTACGAGCGGCTTCGATCCGTACAATATAAACATCGTTCTCTTTCGTCGTAAAGCTAAAAAAGCTCGCGTTCGTAGCTTTTAAATAAAGCCGATATGTTTGCAAAACGCTTTTTCGAAAGCGCAATACCATATTTTCGATTAATCGAACTAAGCCTTTTTTATCTTATTTCTTATACCTATTCCTTTTCTATAGCAAATCCTCTTAGTCTTTTTAATCGGTATGCTCTTTGAATATAAATCGTAGTCGGCGTAGTATTCGAAAAGAAAAAGAAGAGAAGTTCGGAACCGCCGGTAAAAGAAGATCTCCTCGAAAAGACGTCGCATATCGATGATTCAATTTCGGCTTTCTAAACTTTTCATCTCTCTTTCTATCGCAAAAAAAAAAAAAAGAAGAAGGAGAGCTGAAGGTTCGTAAAGGGCACCTCGTACAGGTAAAGAATCGTAGCCCCCCAGGGGACGGCCTTAGGACGGCCTTAGGATGGCTATAGGACGGTCTTAGGATGGCTATAGGACGGTCTTAAAACGGTCTTCTCGTAAAAAGACCGACTTTTATAAACGACGATTTAATCGATCAAAACGATCTTATTTTAATGATAATCTTTTAACGAAAAGACGAGCATTCAAGAAAAACGATTTAATCGATTAAAACAGTTCTATTTTAGCTACGATTTACATAATTTAAATTGTTTATTTTCAAATTCTATTTAATCTTACGTATCGGCTTAAGGTGATCCACCAGCTATGCTAACCTATTAAAATCGCCCTTAAAAGAGATGGTTATCAGACGATCAGCTGATCGTCTAAAAGCTCCTGCATTCCCCCTCAAGGTACATGTCAAAAGTACCATTTTGGCTACTTTAGCCTTACACAAGAAAAGAATAACAAATTACAATTACAATTTGATTGATCGATTAACATTAAGCTTAATGCGGTGCATTCTTTTATACAAAAATAATTACGATATAATAGTTGATTGATTTTTTATTTATCATAAAAGGGCAAATTTTACTGTCCCGCCTTGATGGGTGTCCCTCGGGATTCTTTACAAATTAAATTCAAGGTAACCGACGATTACCTCAATGTAGCAATTTTCATTCTTGATGTTTCGGCAAGGGAAAAATCTTCGGGGGTATCTGTCTGTCTGTCTCTCTATCTCTGCCTGTCTTACTGCTCAAATGAACTCCTCTCGCCTCTCATCCCCTTCTGTGTTGGTTTCAAAGCCCAGCAAATGTACAGTCCCCACCCAGCAATGCAATCCCTAGCAAGTGCATGCAACGCAAAACCCAGCATCTATGCGAAGACTGTCTCCCGGCGACTCCCGAGCCGCTCCTCAATATTATATGTCCCTTCCCTGCTTGCCGGTTGATAAATCAGTGCCCCAGATGGCACCAGAACGGCCGAGAAAGTCTCTCATCTGACACAACACATCCTCCAACTCTCATATAGCGTCCCCTTGTTCCAGGAGCCAACATTTCAATGGAGAAGAAGCAGAGATCTGAATTCCGTGAGCTCACAGCGATTAAAAGACCGTGCCGTCGCTCAGAATAGCAATAGGCGGACATTGCGTATTTGGACGGGAGATCTCAGCCATCTCTCTGCCCCCCTGTTTTCCAATTAGCCTTGTGCCTCCTCATGTCCATCGTCCAAGAATTACATACCTTCCAACTCCCCGCCTCCAGCATCTGCGGCAGCGACAAGCGATCCGGGCCCTGCAGCCCAAGCAAGTTGTTGACCTCCTCTAGCAGCAGATCCAGGAAGCAAACTGTCACGGCCCGCCACTCGACAACCACGTCGTCGTCCGGAGTAAACATCGGCACAACCTCCATGCTCTTCTTACCGCTTCGCACGGACTCATCTGCGAAAGCCTGTAGGCCTCTCTTCATATCTGCAGGTTTGAGTGTGAGGAGACCAGTGTCGATGAACAAGCCCCCGTTTCGGTACTCTGGGAGTCCTGTCATGAGTTCAGCACCGGCGAAGTGGATGTGGATGAGCTTGCTCATGGGCTGCATCAGGGAGTAGCAGAGCCACTGGGTGAGCTTGTGGAAGGGTACGATGGTCTCCCAGGGTTGAGTGCAGGCTGTGCGGGGGAGGGTGCTGAGGGGCCAGGCGTCGCCGAGGGAGGTCGAATCGAGGGTTGTGCGGGAGGGGGGCCAGATGGGAGCAAGGCCATCGATGAGAACGGACCAGAGCGTGGGCAAGAGGACGATGGGGATTGAGGAGGCTTGGGTGGTGGGGTGTGAGAGGAGGTAGTCTGTCGTTCTCTTTAGCACGAATGTTGTACTGGAGGAAAGAGGAAAGATGCTGTATACCGAGGGTGAGAGGAGAAGAAAAAACATACCGAGCATATTCCCCGGCCTCGCATCAGCTCCAAACAGCGCCTGGTTGTTCAACGCATCTGCCAACCGGACTAACAGTCCCGTCCGTCCCTCCAAGCCCGCAATAGGATTGCTATCTGAAACCTGCAGGCCTTTGGCCATTCTCTCCACGCTCAGCATCCTCAATCCCTCCCCGTCCACTTGATGCGGTTGACTCTTGTTACTGCTGAACAGACCATCCTTGAACATCTCCAGACTCGCAATCGCCAACCCCTCACTGCGGCGGTATCTGCGACCATTTTCGTTGCTCTTGTAGGACCAGCTGTTCCCAGCTCCGGCGTCGAGCAGGACGGATACGAGGAAGAGGTCAAGGAGACGACGGCATTGTTCAGAGGGGTCGCACCCAGGGCCCCAGGAAGCCTGTAGCTCGGCGATGCGGTCACGGGAGCCAACGTTGAAGTGCTGCCAGCGGCCGTGAGGGGGGATGCTGGCGAGGTTTTCGGGGAAGTCTCTCTGCATAGGAAGCATTCATCAGCGTTGTCCAGCTCTCGTGTGAAGCATTCACCAGCGTTGTCCCAGCTTTTGTATCCAGCTTTTGTATCCAGCTTTTGTATCCAGCCTTCGTATTCAGCTTTCGTGTCCAGCGTTCGTTTCCAGCTTGCGTATCCAGCTTGCGTATCCAACTTCGTATACCCAGCTCCCTTATATAAGAAACAGCTCGCAATACCACGCACCTTGATAACCGACACCACAAACTTCGTCGTATCCTCAAACTTGGCCATATCCACGTCAAAGTGATTCAGCTCATCCTTCCGCGCCTTCGCCATCACCAGACTGCACCGCTCCCGCACGGCGCCGATGTTCCGCAGGTAGCCCGCCGGGTCGACGTTCGGGTCCGGGGCGCGGGGTAGGGCAATCTTGGGGATGGTCGGGCCCATCTTGGTGAATGCAGGGGTTGCTGGTGAGCGCAGGGAGGATCGGGAGGACTGGGAGGTGGTGTCGGCGGTAGAGGAGTTCTTGCGGATGGAGGAGGTTGTGGACGAGGAGGATTTGGTTTTGCGGGAGAAGAAACCCATGATGAGAGGAGGAGGAGGAGGAGGAGGAGGAGGAGGAGGAGCAGGAGGAGCAGGAGGGGATCGGGTCGGCCGAAGAAATGGAGGGATGTGGATGGAGTGAGGGGAAGGGATTGGGGCCGGTCGGAAGTCCGAGCGATGTACCGGTAATCAATGCGCGGATTATCTTATCGTAGCTGCTATCGGACGTGGTATCGGTAGGTAGGTAGGTAGGTAGGTTGGGAGGTGGCCGTCGGGGCGGGAGATGGTATGGACGACTATGTGTGAGTAGAGGAGGGCAGAGGTTGAATTGTGATTAGAAAGAATCAAAGACAGAGAGATACACTAGCGAGGGATCGAGGTCGAAGTCGAAGGTCGAGTCCGAGAGTGCGATGGTAACGAGAACTGGAAAGTCCCGCGATTCAGGTGAATCGCTTGAGAGCTTGAGAACGGGTGGATCTTGACTCGAGCGTTTGGTAGAATGTACGGAGTAACAGGAAGCCTCTCCTCTTCTTCCCCCAAAAAGAGTGAATGGAGAATTGGGAATTACAAAATGCAAAAAGTACCTAGAAGCGAAGAAAAGTGAGCCCGTCTCGCGTCTGGGTTTTCAGGTTGACCCTGATCCAAATCCTACGTAATGCCGATCCAAAGCCAAATTCTAATCCTAATCGACTTCTTCTAATCATACCCAACGACTTGGTCCTCCCCCTGGTCCTCGCCCTCCACTCCACGCGACAAGCCAAAGTCAAGTCAACAAAGCACGGCCTCCCCCATCCTCATCCCCAGTCCCACCCACCGTCCAAGCCCCAGCCCAGCCAGTCCCAGCCAGTCTTGTCCAGCCCAAGCTGCTATCTCCCTCAGGGGCTCGCCTTCGCCTTCGCCTTCGCCTTCGCCGCCGCCGCCGCCTCCGCTTCCGCTATCGCTTCAGCTTCCGCCTCTCCTCTTTGTCTTTCTCCCCCTCCTCCCTCCCCAACTCCACCAGTTTCGAGGCACCTTTTCGCGACATTTTCCACATTCCCAAGGACTGCCCGCCCCAGAGGCCTGTCAACAACTGTCCTGAGAGTCCAAGCTTGTATACTGACGAGGATGTCATGTTGGACAGGGTCCCTGGAGAGGGGCACATACCTGCTGCAGGCACCAGCGTTCATTTGACGGGACGGCGACCGGAATGGATTTTCGGCGGGGTGAGCTCTGGGACACCATGATCGCGTGCGGCGGGTAAGCAAAAATTCATAATTATCATACAACTAGAAAGTAAGTCTCGTAGATAATAGGCTGTTGAGCCTGCGTTTCTGATATCGCCCGACTGAGAGAATTGCACAAGTTCTTCCTCGCAATTCAGCCTGCCTATCGAGGCCAGTGGATTGGAATCAAGGGCTGCTCGAGGATTAACATCTAGCGAAGCAGTTTTTCTTTTTGCGCGACATCTCGACGGGATCAGCCCTCGTCCGCATTCGGTAATAACCCACGGTTCGCTGGCAGGATCTTGATTGTGTATCAGAACGGTCTTGAGCTCCCCGACCTCCAGAGACTTGGTCTCTTGGGTGTTGAAGAAGTGCCTATATTTAGAGTTGTAGCGTTCTTCATCTTCCGCAGGAAACGACCAGATGTTCAAACTGTATTTCGGTTCTGGTACTTGATCCTGGCGTAGGCAAGGTGGTTAGGAGGCACCGTGTGAGCGTACCGGTCGTCGTTATTGACATGTGCCACAAAGAAGCGAGCTCTGGGTTCCCCGGGATCCAAAAGAGGCTTCCCTTTGGGAGGTGCTCAACCGCCTCGTGTCCGTTACCTATCCCACCATCCAAAGATGCTGCCTCGGAAGAGCTTGACGTCTCTCGTACATGTACTCAGTAAGGCTCGTCCCTTTGCAGTTTGCATGTCAGAGGTCCTGCATTTCGGACAGAAGCGGCCGGGATATGAAACTAACTTGTCAGACGAACAGGGTAAAGCGTGCGACCAAGAGCAGCCGACAGCTTGCCTTGTCGGCGCACGGCTAGCTCTGCGCTCTTCGTTGGAGTGACAGATGAGCAGCTGAGTTGGCAGGGGCCAAAAGGCGATTCGTGTTAGAGCGAGATGTGTGAAGATGGGAGGCAAAATGTCATAAAAGCAGAGCGGGTAGTGATGGATATCTTGTACAACACAGACTTAAGCCAACTCGACAACAAAGTAATCGTTCGATGAACAGACAGAGAAACACGATGCCAGAGATAAGCGACAGATGACCGCTCCTGTAATCCCATCGACGAGGACGTCTCGTACACGTGATATCAAAATGCCATGCATTTTGCACGGTTTCCCCATCAATTGCGGGCTCACATCTGCGAGGATCTGCCGTCACAGTCTCATGCTCGCAGTTTCGATACTGATCATCGACATCCAATGCCATACAATCACCGACATCCAATACCATCGTAAGCCGCGGTCTTCTTCCCTCGATACCGCGTCTTCTTGTCAATTGAAGACTTCTCTTCAAGCATAGGATACAAACTGCCCTCTTCCCGTCGTACCTGCGAGACGCTCACTGACTGGCGATTCAGCGCGTTCGAGAGCGAGTAGCCGACGATAACGAGATAGACCAAGACGACCAGGGGGATCCAGAGAGCCGGCGAGGATTTGAAGAATTCTGGCAGCAGTTTCTAGTCTTTGTCAGTGAGTATATCGGGAATGGGAATGGGAGACTGGAAGTACGAGGTATGGGTCTATCAAGGATCCTGAGTCTGAGTGCATGTTGAAGATTGAGAGCGGAATCTCGGGATGTGAAGAGGTTTTTTAAAATGGTGAGGGGAGATTCAGGATTGACAGTGGGATTTGAGTGCTATAAAGAGGACTGAGTGGGATACAGATGTTTGGAATTATAATGAGCCGAGAGGATGGAGATGCAACGGAATTTAAACTCGAGATCTTACACGTGATGCCTTCAGCCCGGAACAAAATATTTCCGATAGCCGCTCATAGCTATCGACGTGGAAGCATCGAATCTCCCAACACACTATATCACATTTAACGCATTCACGACTTCAATGACCTCACGTCCAAACCGCACAATCGCTTCGTGTAGAGAATACCCCCTCGGTGCCCAAAATGGATGATCTAAACGGCCTCGATTGGTCCTCCACCACATCCTCAAGCTCTAGCAAGCCCGCTCCCCCTGGAACTGGGAACTACTATCCTTCACTACGCCCAACTCCTCCTCCCCAACTGCAGAATTCTGGTCGGAATACCCCCCTATCAGCTCAAGGCTCCGGCTTCAAAGCTCCTCCCAAACCCTTCGCCCCCCCGAAATCAGTAACGCCCGACTCCTTTTCGAATCTGGTCTCTTTTGGCAGCAGCAACAAAGCTGGGACGCTCACGTTGCAACAGCAGCAGGAGAAACTTCAAGCTGAAAAGAGGAGGGCCGATGAGGAGAAGAGGAAGCAGTTTGATAGGCAGTTTGGAGGTGGAGGGAGCAGCTGGGATTCTCTGGGTGCTGGGGGGTCTACGAGTGGTAACCCTACGTTTACTCAATTACACAAGCAGCCGAGTGCACTTGATGGAAATCGCAGTGGCAGTGGAAACGGAGGAGGAGAGGAAGAGGACTTGTTCGCCGCGTTCAATAAGGAGGCCCCGGTTGATAATTCGAGTTACTACCCACCTCCTTCGAAGGTGAGTAGTGGACGAAGCACGCCGGGTTTTGCGCCGCCCAAGGCCAAGCCACTTGATTTGACAAGCCCGATCGCGTGGGAAGAGAGTGGGAACCTGGGAGGACTAGGAGATGATGATGATCCATTTGGATTGGGGAAGATGAATCCAAGCTCGGGGCCGGTGCCTGTAACGAGTCCTGAGGATGATGATGATTTTCTGGGGGACTTAGGGAAGCCGGTCGAAGAGGTTCGGAGGCGGAGCCCTGTCAGAGAGGCTGTGCCGGAGTCTGAGCCAGAAACGGAGAGGGAAGACGAAGATGACCCCTGGGACAAGGCGGTCGCGGAGCTGGTCGATATGGGTTTCTCGGCGGAGCAGTCGAGGAGGGCTTTGACGGAGAGTGGGTCGGGACTGGATATCCAGGCTGCGGTGGGATGGATCTTGAATGATGCGCATAGACAGGCAAAGCAGAAACAACAGGGTGGACGAGATACGGGTAGAAATGGGACTATCGGCGAAGACAGGAGAGAGGATCTGAGCGAGGGTCGGCGAAGTCCAGCTTGGATGCAAATTGACCCGAGCGAGGGTAGACAGAGTCCAGCTTGGATGCAAAAAGACCGAGACCGCTCACGGAATCGACGAGAGAACAATCAATCCCCTGGCCCGGAATCCGACCTTGCGAAACAAGCCGTTTCCGTTGGCAACAACCTCTTCAAGACGGCTAACTCGCTGTGGAAGACGTCACAAAAGAAGGTTGCAAAAGCCATGAACGAGTTCCAGCAGGAATCGGACCCCGGCCAGCCGAAATGGATGCGGGAAGCTGCAGATCGAGAACAGGCAGACGCGGGGCGGGAGAAGAAGTGGCAGCCGGAGACTGATGTTACGGACGAGGCCCTGATGCTGGAAGGTGGTGGGAGACCTTCGCCCCGGAAAGCGAGAGCCCCTGAACCGCGATTCTCGGCAAACTCGTCACGTGAGAGATCCCCCGCGATGCCGAAACCGCCTCCTGAGCGGTGCGACCGACCAGAGCGTAGTAGCCCTGCCCCTCGCTGGCAGCAGACTGCTCCTGACCCTAGAATGCGGCTCACCAAGCAGGCTATCGAGGAGCAATCCGCACAAGCATATGTCAGTCCTTCGCGGCGGAAGAAAGCTCAACCTTCCCCGGAGCCAGAAGTCGACCTCTTTTCCGCCCCAGCGCCCAAATCCGCTCCTCCGAAATTACCACCATCGAAACCAGCTCCTCGGGCATCCCCTGCCTCCAAGCCATCTACGCCTATACCCACAAGACCGAAAGCCACACCTCGTCAGATACCCCCCCTCTCACCCACCGCCCTCGCAAACGCAAACCAGCACCGTCTCGCCGGAACCGCACACTTCAAACGCGGGGACTACGCCTCTGCCCACGCATCCTACACCTCGTCCCTCTCGGCCCTGCCCCCCTCTCACCCAACTACCATAATCCTGCTCTGCAACCGCGCCCTCACCTCCCTCAAGACCGGCGTCCCCAAATCCGCCGTCTCCGACTCTGACACCGCCCTGGCCCTCATCGGCCCCTCTCGCGGCGATGCCGAGACCATCGACCTCGGCCCCGGCGAAGGGAACGGGCCCAAGGACATGAGGGAGTTCTACGGCAAGGCACTGATGCGGAAAGCCGAAGCGCTGGAGCAGATGGAGCAGTGGAAGGGTGCGGCTGAGGTATGGAAGCTGTGTGTTGAGCATAGCGTTGGTGGCGCGACTGCTATCCAAGGCCGCACGCGGTGCGAAAAGGCCCTCGCTCCGAAACCTCCGTCCGCACGGCGCGCCCCCCCTCGGCCCCAGCCTCGTCCGTCAGCCATCGCGGACCTCGGGAGCGACGACTCGGCAGCTGTCAAGCGGCTAAGAGAGGCGAACGCCAGTGCGGAGAGAGCGGACGACGAGAAGTTCGCGCTGAGCGACAAGGTGCACGAGCGTGTTGGCAGCTGGAAGAACGGGAAGGAAGACAACCTGCGCGCCCTGATTGGGAGTCTGGATAACGTCATGTGGGCGGGCAGTGGGTGGAAGAAGGTGGGTATGCACGAGCTGGTGGTGAATTCGAAGGTCAAGATCAACTACATGAAGGCGATTGGGAAGACGCATCCGGACAAGGTGAGTCTGGGGTGGGGGTGCTGGCTGGGCTGGACTGTCGAATATAGGCTAACGTGACGCAGCTGCCCCAAGATGCGAGTACCGAGGTGAAGATGATTGCGGCTCTGGTGTTCGCCGCGCTGAATGAGGCGTGGGATAAGTTCAAGCAGCAGAATGGCATGTAGGGGGGGGGGGGGGGGGGGTAATGTTGAGGAGCAGGATGGCGGGTAGGTGTCCTGCTGGCTGTAGACAAGATGGAGGTGCGAGAATAAGTAATACCAGTACATTGTCAGCTCAACCCCTGGCTACTCCAGATACCAGTCCAGCTGTCTGCTGCGTTCGAGTGACATGCATTTCGTAGATTTTTCATCTGGTTCTAGATGCACGGTCAACTTTGATCTCGTAACTGCCTAGTTCTCCAGCCAACGCTAGTGTGGACACGTGACAAGTGGGTCTGGATTTTGAGGTTATCTCAACCTCCAACCTCCCCTTTTTTCTCGACTTCTAAAAAGTGTCACCTGCCGCTTCTCTGAAGTCTGACGAGTGCATTCGTGTACTCAACGGACTGACTGGTTGGACCCTCTTTCGGGACTGTTACAGTTGTTTCGGCAACTGTATCGATTGAAAAGGAGTATAGGCTAGTTTTTCTGGATTCATTAGAGTCCAGTAAACGAACCCGGACAATCGGATTCTTCTTCGGAAGCGTCCTCGGTATTGATTTACCGAACTTGGGAGCCTACGGTTCTTTGCCTGTACGAGGTGCCTCCTACGAACCTTCAGCTCTCTTTCTTGCGGTAGAGAGAGTCTGGAGAGCCGAAATTGAATCATCGACCTGCGCCGACTCTTCGAGATTTCTTGGCCATGATCGTGCTCGAGGCGCGTCCCTCGCCAGATTCTTGTTTCGCACGCTCAGGGAAGCAAGAAGTACGATCCGTCCATCCTCGTCCTTGGGCTTCAACCCGATCGGATGAACTGGCCATGCAAATTTGCATTCGCCGGCTTCTTCGAGATTTCTTCAGATTTCCCTAGTGGTCACGATAGCGATCATTCAGGATCATGCTTGTAATTGATATAGTTCTTAACAAAATCTCTGTGCCACGAATCGCTTCTGCTTTCTTCCCTTCTCGTAATCTTCTCATTCCATGAACCCCTTTTTTCTCACTTTTCTTCTTTGGCATAGGCTTCACTTTGAATGACAGTTCCGAGCTTAGCTTACTTCTCTTACAGCTGGCTGCTTCTCTAGCAAAGTTATTTCAGCAAGGGAAAGTTACTTCTCTTAGCACATTTGGTACATTTAAAACCCTCAAGGACCTTTGAGAGCTTTTGAAAACTTTGGGACCTGATTGTATTAAAAACGCCCAGTACCAAACGAGCGCTTACAACCTTGCAGACATTTCTTCAAAGGTTGTGCCATAAAGGCGCCGGTTTGTAGCTGGTGTGCTCGTATAGCGAGATTCCCTTATCATTCAGACCGTTTGCAAAAGTCGATTACACTGACAACGTATTCGATTGCAGCACCCTCTCTGTGATGCTAACGACTCTCAAACCGATTCTGCAGAGCTAGGAGATCAGCTTCGTGGATCGTTTTCCTTCTCCAAGGTCTGTCGGGTGCATTCGTGCGCTCAACGGACTGACGAGTCGGTAGTCTCGACTTTACCTTCCAGGAGGTTCAGCGAGACTTTTCGGCAGCCCGGTCCTACGCGATTCCATTGGGAGTCCGGAAAGCCACCGGCAGTGTACACGTTGCATCAAGAAAAAAAAAGTCCTCAAACGAGACAACCAAGCAGACTACTAAGCAGCCTGCTATGCAGGCCGACACCTCAGTGCCCGCCGCTGGGAATGCTTCTGCGGCTCCGCCAAGTTCACCCGAATCTGCAGTCCAGACCGCACCGATCACCATGGCCCACGATCCGACGCCGGCCCAGGCCGAGGCTATCACTGCTTCGTCGAGAACTGGCAATGGACAGCCAAGACAGGTGTCCAATGCGCCTACCAAGTCGAAGCCGAAAAAGGGCGAGAAGAAGAGCAAGAAGTATGTCAGCATGGAGAATGCAACATCGGCGCGGGATCCGTTTCCGAATGTGCCAATGCACAATCAGCAACCCAATCCCAATGAGCCGAAAGCCAAGCGGGAGGCCGAGGGCACCTGGAATCGTGGTTCGGGCAAAAAACGCACGACGAAAGAGGGGGCGGTTGCGAAGAAGTCTCTTCGCGGCCGCGCCAATATGTCAAGTGAGGAGATCAGATTAGCGGAGTGGCTCCTGAAACCCCGCGGCAAGGATGACCCGCCGAATGAATTCGAGAATTGAATGAGACAGAAGGACGTTCACCATGCTACGAGCGTCACCTATGATGGCGGCGCCGATGTGTCCGAGCTCGCGTCCGGGTGGAAGGCCAAGGTGATCCCTCACTTCAACGCCCCGGCCATGCAGTTTATGAGGGGAGGATATGTCGTATCTGTCCGAGCCGAGAACTTTGCGGCCCGTCGACTGGTCGTGCCCCATTTTCGAGTGGTGTCTACGATACCGCAACCGAGGATTATAACGGTAATCTCAACCAGGGTACAATCGATCCCGAGGTTCTCTTTGGAATTTTCTCTGCTCAGCGCAGATACCAGGGTATGACGGTGGACTAAGCGAAGGAGATATTGGCCTGGGGTAAAACTGTCACTGAAAAGGTCAAGAAGGTGGGCATCCAATGCCTAACATGGAAGGTTACCGGAGCACACTGGTGGGATTATGTCCCTGAAAGCTCGGATCTCAAGGCTGAGGCAGACAAGTTGCTAGGGGCCTTAAATAATGGATGCGAAATCACGGTTGTTAGCAAAAGTAGCCAGTATAATCAGGCATTGGAGGGCTACTGGGAAAACCGGATCGAGATCGTCGTGCGAGAAATGGTCTGGGCCTACTATAACGACGAGATTGGGCAAGGTCACGGGCAAGCTCTTCCAGCCATGGGTTTCGAATCCGGATACCGAGATCAAGCGACAAGTCTGGATGAAGAAGTGTCAGCCCAATGCCACAATCTCTAAGATTACAAAGTACGCTTCCCGTACCGCCAAGCAGTCCATAGGCTCGATGCGTGAGTATGAGATCATACAATCTGTTGGTCTCATCTACGAGACCATATGGGAAAAAGAACAGATCCTGCGATCAATACTTTGATTACGACAAGATCTCCCCGGCTGCGGCCATGTCACAGAACCATGGTCGCACCGCCCTCGACGTCAAGGTTACGAAGCAGACGGATTCTACCATGCCTGCGGCGACCGTGGAAACCAGAATCACGCTCAAGAAGGTCATCATGAACGACCCGAATGCGATGACAGACGACCTCGAGGCAATCGACCCTGAGATTGACGACTATAGCCCTATGGACGGCAAAGCAGAGATTGCAGCCGAGAAGTCTCCGCTCGACGCCTGGTGGAAGCCCGGCGAGTACAAGGATCGAGTTTTCGACGAGGCGGTGCAAGGTGACTTCTGCGTCTCGTTCTTTGTCCAGGACGCTACCGAGAGAGCCAAATTCGTGCCGGGCCAGACGATCGACGTGGTGCTCAATATGAAGCGGAACCCCATTCCCACTCGCCGAGAGTTGATTGCCATCAGTGCAGTCTGCCGTGCTCCAAAGAAAGTAGAGCATTGGAAATTCAAGGCCCCCGCAGAACTTTCTCACGGGCATGGGTAATCCCGATTTTGGTGACAATGAGGTGAGCGCCATCGAGGAGGCATATCTTGTGATGTCGGTAGAGCAGCGGGGCAGATTCGAACACTTCCGTAAGTCCTTTATCAGCTCCGGAGGCCTAATCCAGCCGCAAATGGAGGTCTGAATGCCATCTTTAATCACAGATGGTTCGTAACCCAACTAGAAGGACCACCTGGTGCCGACAAGACGTTTACCGTGGCCCTGACTGCGGTTGCCTGGGCCATGCTCAACATTCGGACGGCTATTTGCCCCGTCGAACTTCGCCATCTAGCAATGCCTCGGAGCCGTCGTCGAGATTATGAAGAAGCTCTACGTCGCTGACCCCTCTCTCAGAAAGACGTGCAAGGTCGTGTTCTCGCCAACCACAGCCACCACCAAGCGGGCTCTAAAGGCCGACAGTGACATCTCCGATATGCAGATGGCCTGGGACTTACACTGTGAAGGCGAGAAGATCGCGGACCACAAGGACTGTTACTTGCACTCCCATGTCATTCGCTCGTTCCAGCGCAAAGTGGACCTCAAACTCGAAGGTGCAGAAGAGGCCCAAGTCTGGCTGAACCACCGCAAGGTGTTGCTTGATGGGCCAAACGTCGAAGAAGAGAAGAACATGCGCAAGTGGGCTGAAGCGGCCACTGCCGCAAGAGGCGTTGTTCTCCAAGAAAGGGGTGTCAAGATCGTCCTACCGGCTACCAACAACGCCGATTAGATGAAGCAGTGCAGTTAACTACCACCCATGCTCCTTGATCCTCGACGATTGTGCCTCTGGCGTCGAGGGCCTCTGGCAAAGAGCAGGAGAGTATCGTCCCGCTGTCGCTAGGGGCTAGATTCAACTGCATGGTTGGAGATCATAAACAGCCCCGTCTCCTGGTTTGGTCATAAGGCCACAAAGAATTTGCGTAGCAGCTGGGCCTATAGATGCACGAGAGATTCTACGGCCATCACAGTGTTCCGCTATTGCGCCTCGATGGAGAAGCCCAGGAAGACGTACCGCTGGATACGATGGACACGGATGGGGGCTAATAATGAGGAGCGCTCGGACGTGAACTTGGAACGAGCTTACTCTCCTATCTTGCAATGAGAGTAGCCGAAAGCAAAAGTCGAATCAAGAGACTCATTGCACATAATTGTGGTAAATATGATGATGACATTATGAAGGGGCGTTTCACCGGGCAGAGCCGCATTATTGATACCTCAGGCAGCAAGCATTTTAATTATCAGCGGATCTTGACTGTGTGCATGGAGAATAGGGACAATCGCTACATATCAAGTCTTAGAAAATCCGTGTAATTGATATTTTGATATACCTCTTTATCAGTATAAGAGCACAATTTTCTCTTTTCACCCCTTCGCCCCTTCACCTTCACAACTCCAGCGTATACTTCTTGAAGAAATCCACAATCATAGTCGAGGCATTAAACGAAGCCGGGCCATCGCCGTGCGCTATATTATCCGCATTCGCCAACTTTGTATCATCATCCACCGTCAGCATCATTTACTCTCTCTCTACTTCCTCGGGTGTGGGCGGGGGGTATCCGTAAAAACTTACAGTACTCGGCCAGCTGTGATCCAGATTCTCGTCAAACACATGACTCACCAGCCCCAAGTCCCGTCCGTCATCGTCGTCGTCGTCCTCCTCCGTCTCGAACTGGTAGAGCGTGGTATCGTCGCTCACAGCACTCGATACGTTTCCCGGGTACGCCAACCCATTGCGTTTCGCCCACTGCCGCACCCACTTAACCCCCGGCATTAGCGTTTAGCGTTTAGCGTTTTAGTGGTACGGAGCATACGGAGGAGAACGGGGTGCAACAACATACATGCGGTATCCACGGCACGCACTCCCCTCCCCTGCCGGCGCCGGAATACTTGATCGTCCCATCGGCACCGCCGTGGATCTCCATCATGGGGATCTTGGCGCGGCCTGGGTGACACGGGATCTCGATCGTCCTCGGAGCGCACTTGGTGTCGTTCTTGATGTAGAAAGCGCCGGCGACGGGAGCGAACGCGGCGAACTTGTTGGAGAGGGTTGCGTCGCAGGCGAGGACGCCGACGAAGCCGCCACCGAGGGACTTGCCCGAGGCGTAGATGCGGGAGTCGTCGAGCGTGTAGCGAGATTGGAGGGATGCCAGGATGTCGAGGGTGAATTGCAGGTCGTTGGATGTGGCGTCTGGGTGGCCCTGCCATGACTTCTGCAGGTACTTGGTCAATAGCGATCCTCTACTCTTTTGGCGCAGGTAGTGAGTGTATCTTACTTCGAGACCGTTGGGGTATACGGCTATCGCGTAGTCGTTGAAATAGGGATCCGAAAGTAGGGTAAGCTCATATTGATCCTTGGCCGACTTGTTCTTTCCGTGAAACGAAAAGATAACAGGCGTGGGCGTTTTTGGATCAAACTTTGGAGGAGTGGTGACGAGGTAGTAGCGAGCGTCACCAGAGCTGGTGAGAGAGACTTTGGTGTAGTCGACGTTGGCCGCATAAACCAGAGACAGGAGAGGAAACAGAAAGATGAGGGTATTCCATAACATATTGACGAATCTGAAAGGATAGGATAGACTGGTTGCGAGGGGAGCTTGAATTTAAGTACAACGATATGGCCGTAGGTACATCGATCGAAAGACGGGAGGTGGAAGACACGCAATGGATCTGGTCTTATAGATAAAGATATATATATGCACGACATCTTGAGGCTCGGGCGTCAGCTGACAATTACACGCCCGGTGCTGTGTAAAAATAGAAAAGAACACGGCGATCTCTTGACCCACGGATATACATCTTAAAAGCAATGGATGTACGGAGGTTAGCGGTAAGCTTGAATTGACCTCAACTTAAAGTGATAGGGATGATCTTTGAATCACGGTTTTTGCCACAGAACTTGCCCCAGAGTTCAGAATAAGGGTATCATTGCTTTCCCACAAAGCGACTGACGTCCCCGGGTTGGGTTGGGTTGGGTTGGGATTGACTCGTATTCCCGGGCTTTGTCTGCAAGCACTGACTGATGCCGGGCACTGGCTCGGACAAGAAGACAAGATCGACACGAAGACAAGATCTGCACTCCGGGCACAACACCAATTCCACCTCATCAGCCCAATAAAGGCTGCAAACGACAAGAGTTACTGCACCGTGAAGATGCACTTCCACCATCCCAAGGCATCCCAACAAGGTATCAAACGCTCTCCTAACATCCTAGCAAAATCCCAGCAGCCAAGCCCACTCACGCGTTCTTCGCCTTCCACTCCTCATGGATTTTCTTTTGTCTCTCCCAATCCTTCTTCATCTTCTTCAGCGCACTCTTAGGGACATCCTCCCCTTCCTTCGTTTTGGAGGGCATCCCATCTGCATCCCACGCGCTGAATCGCTCATCTCGGAACATATCATTCGGGCTCAGCTTTGCCTTTTCGGCTTTTTCCTGCTCGGCTTTCTCACGGTCCAGTCTAGCTTTCTCCTTCTGAGCAGCCTTCTCGCGTTCCTTAGCTGCTTTCTCTTCCTTCTGGGCTAGGAGTTCGGCGGCAGGGATGAATTTTGGGAGGGCGGATTGGCCTTCTCCGCGATCGTCCAAGTAGACACCGATGCTTGTCAGATCGTCATCGCGGATTTGGTCCGAGAAGCTCAGGATTTCTTTCTTGGACGGGGAGGTAGGCGCGAGTTTCCGGAGTTCATCGCGGATCTTGGAGATGGCTCTAATGTAGGGGTAGACGAGGAACTCGGGGTCTTTGCTGCCAGAGGCGTCGCGGGTAGCGATTTCAGCGTCGACGTCGGCTGCTAGGAGTTGATCGAGGAGCGAGGAATGGAGTGAGAGACGTTCGACTTCTGTCTTGATTGCTTGGTATATTTGAGCGACTGCTTTGGCGCTCAGGCTGTCATTGGAGTCACCCTGAGCCCAGCCGAGACCGTCGAGTTGGGTAGCGCGGGCATCGAGACCGAAGATCCTGACCATCTTGGTAATCCAGCGAGCGATGTTCTCGAGTCCCTTGATGTCCGCATCTGCCTTTTTGGTGTTGATGTGGATGCTTCCCTCTTTGATGACTTCGGCTATGATGCGCATCGCCCGAGGGGTATCAAAGGAGTCTGAGAGGGCAGCCTTCATTTCTGATTGAGCCTTTTCGAGGATGGCGGACAGTTCGGCGCCGGTATCCAGGGATAACGTGGCGAGGGGTTCAGTTGAACCGGCTTCCAACATGAGTGCTTTTACGGTAATGAAGAAGTTCTGCTCCAAGTCAGTCGAGCATCTGACATGGAAGTGGGGATATACTCGCATTGACTGTAGACTCCCATACCTGGGCCATTGTCCTCATATCTGGAGAAATCTCAACCCCGTCGTTCCATCTGCCCATCAGAAAGACCACCCTCATCCCTCTCGGGGTGTAATCCGTCTTGAGCGCATCTTTGATAGTCTGGAAATTCTTTAAGGACTTCGACATCTTCGAACCTGCAATCGAGAGATGTCCCATGTGCATGAAATATCTGACCCAATTGTGTTCATGCCCATGCTCGCAGTAGTAAGCCTCGCTCTGAGCAAGCTCATTGTCGTGATGGGGGAAGGCAAGATCAATACCACCAGAGTGGATATCCATCTCTGATCCGAGAACATCAGAAGCCATAACCGAGCACTCAATATGCCATCCTGGCCTGCCCTTCCCCCAGGGACTGTCCCAGAATGGCTCTCCAGGCTTCGACTTTTTCCACAAGGCAAAATCCCCAGCACCTCGCTTACCCCCCACGCTCTTGGACAACGAGCCCTCTCCCTCCTCTTGGAGAGCCGTGTCGTTTTTGCTATCCGGTCGCAGACGAGCATATGGGTTTCCGGCTTTTTCAAATGCCGCGATATCGAAGTAGACGGATCCTTCCGTCTCGTAGGCAAAGCCCTTCTGCACAATCTTATCCACGTAACGAACAATGTGCTCGCAATAGGCCGTCACTCGCGTAATGATATCGGGTTTCAAGACATTGAGCGACTGCATATCCTCCATGAAATCATCCTCCCAATGCTTTGTGACCTTCGTGAATATCGAGTGGTCGCTTCCATCAATAGACTCCTTGTACAACGAATCTAAGTACGGCAGAAGAATCTCGTCTGCGCCTCCAAATATCCTGTTCTCCTGTATCCCCTGGGCAGCCGTGGTCAGGTTCGCGAGATGCATCTTCATCTTGGCCTCCGCATCTCCTGCTTTGCCCTCGCCCGTCAATGTTCCTCCAGCCAAAACCTTCCCATACGCCGCATCTCTCCTTTGTGCATAGTTACTTGGACTCAAGCCCTCCTTCGGCAATTCGGGCAGGTTTCCTTGCGCGTAGGATTGGAAGGCCGTCGCAGCCAGTTGTGAGAGGTCGGCCTCGGAATAGGTCTTCTCTTTCTCTAAGGCCAGCAGTCTCTCTCTCCGCGCCTTGAGGATGATCTGCCATAAGTCAGCCCTGCAATTCTGCAATTGGGTTGTTCCTCACTTTGTCATCCACATCCGTGATGTTCATCACAAACTTGAGTTCGTAGCCAAAGTAGTCGCGCATTATCCTCCGTATAATATCGGTCGATACATAGTTCCTCGCGTGCCCCAAATGCGAGTGATCGTAGACCGTCGGTCCGCAGACATACCAAGAGACCTTGCCCTCTTCCTTGGGGACGAAGGGGACGGGCGCCCCCGGCTTGAGGGAGTTGTGCACTTTGAGTTTGAGTTGGTCCATTTTGAATGCTGTCCTCGTGTATGTTCGGAAGATGAGAACCGATCTGATTTTAGATGCAGAAATGCTGATTCGACGTAAGAGAAATAGCATCCAGTCGGTGGGAATAGCGAGTCGAGTCCCTTTATGCCTTTGATATCGATTTCGGGGGAAGTGGCTCTTTTGTGGTGGAGGACAGGGCTGAAGGAAGTTGGGTCAAAGGCGGGCGGAGGGCCACGATTCGTCCGGGGATACTCCGGAGCTCGCCCAACGTTCAGCCTTGTTCTAAAATATTCATCCATCTTTATTTTATATTTTAAACAGTTCAAATCAACCCAACCTCGCCGACCTCGACCTACAATCACTCACCTTCACTCACCTTCACGATGACTTCCAGGATTTCGCCTTTCCTCTACCCAGGGGCGGTAGCGACGGGCGATCGTCTGGCAATTGTGCATTTGAAAAGGGACTTGCAGATGCCGACCGTCCTCAAGGAGCGCGACGAGGATAATGAAGGCTACTCGGAGGGGAAGGTAGTCAATACACGATTTGGGTCTTTCCCGCATAAGACATTGATCGGCCTACCGTGGGGGAGCCAAGTTCGAGCTTCCAAGGTTGATACGGGATCTCGAGGACGTCGGCCCAAGGGAGAGGACAAGAAAAGGAAACGGGATGAGGATGCGGTGGATGCGCCAAAGAAGGCTCCGAAATTAGAGGATGGCGACCCAGATGCGGGCACACCAACGGCGGCGAAGGAGGAAGCTGTAATTGCTGCCAGTGGATTCATGCATCTGCTGCCACCGACGCCCGAGAACTGGACGAGTTCGTTGCCTCACCGGACGCAGGTTGTCTACACGCCAGACTACAGCTATATCTTGCACCGCATACGGGCGAGACCAGGGAAGAGTATCATCGAGGCCGGTGCTGGTAGTGGATCGTTTACGCACGCATCTGCGAGGGCGGTCTTCAGTGGATACCCGGGGAACGATGAGGCCAATGGATCGCCGAAGAAGAAGAAGAGGAGATTAGGCAAGGTCTGGAGCTACGAGTTCCATGCGCAGAGACACGAGAAACTGGTGCACGAAATCAAGGATCATGCATTAGAGGGAGTTGTTGAGATTACACATCGGGATGTCTGTGAGGGGGGATTCTTGGTTAATGGGCAGAGTCCGAATGCTGAGGCTATATTTCTGGATCTTCCTGCACCATGGCTCGCTCTACCACATTTGTCGAGATCACCGCTCGCGAAAGAAGGCAGTCCGACCGACGCGCCTACAGAAACGACGCCTTTCATCTCCGCGTTGAGTCGTACGGCACCGGTGTATATCTGTACATTCTCCCCCTGCATCGAACAGGTCCAACGGACGGTATCAGTGATGCGGAAACTAGGCTGGGTCGACATTGAAATGGTGGAAGTCTCTCAAAAGCGCTTCGAGATTCGCCGAGACAGGATCGGGATCGATATCGGCGGCGAACGTGGTCTCCAATTGACACCCGCCTCCGTTGACGAAGCCGTTGCCCGCCTCAAGGAGGTTGAAGGAATACACAAGTCTTTCCACGAGAACGGGGAAAAGGTCGAGACTGCAAAGAAGAGTAAAGAAAACCCCAACACTCGTGCGAAAATCATGGAGAGCTTGATCGAGAAGAAGACTTACAAGGAAGGGCTGCTGGTGCATAAAACGGAACCGGAGGTGAAGACGCATACGAGCTACTTGGTCTTTGCGATCTTGCCGAGGGAGTGGAGTGAAGAGGATGAAAGGTTGGCGAGTGAGAAGTACAAAGTCCAGGTTAGAAAGGAGGGCGAGAATGTCGACGGGGAGGTTATCGGGATGAGCAGGAAGCAGCAGAAGAGGATAGAGAGGCAGGCTATGAAGGATAAAACCACAGCTGCAAAGGCTGACGTGGAGAGTTGTGGAGTGAAGGACGAGGAGGCGGTAGATGTTGAGATGCAGGATGCTGGGGACGATGCCACAGTCGACGACACGCCAGTGTGAGGACTTTGGGCATCTAGGTATGTGATCTGGTCGTTCGTGGCTATTTTCAAAGCAGATGACGCTTTATAAAATGCAAACTAGCATGCTGTCAGTCTGTCAACACCAAAGCCTGGCAAACGGATATACTGCTTTGCTCGTAGACGCCCCCGTGAACTCCGATCCACGCAACACAATGCATCGATCCAGATGCGAAACGCCAGACTCCAATTCAAAACGCCTCAGCCATTCAACCGCTCGTCGTCCAATTCCCTTCCATACTGCTAAATCTCGACCGCCCCCTCTGGCACACCGGCCCTGCTCCTCAACCTCCGAGCAAAGAACTTCATGATAGGTAACATCTCCTCCCTACTCCCTGGCATGGAGTCCTCTCTCTTGGCCCATTTAACATATTCTACCTCGCCAAATCGCGCTTTGACTGCATCAACCGCGCTCCTCGTGACCTCCGCGCTCCCGCTACCTCCGAGCAACAGCACTGGGGTCTTGGCCTTTCTGGCAGTCGAAGAAGAAGCCGAAGAAGCCGAAGAGGGAAGACGACCGCCGATAGAAACAACACCTCCAAACTCCTTTTCGGGGGACTGCGATGAGAGAAAGGAGAGGGCAGCCATGGCCCCCTGTCCGAAGCCCAGAAACAGCAGCCCCCGCTCGGGAAAGCCGCACCTCGTCGTCAAGCCCTCGACCACCTGTTCCAGTAGCCTGGCGGTTGTGGCGAAGCCCGCGTCGAGCTCAATCTCGCCCTTGCGCTCGTCGACGAGCACGTCGTCGCCCCAGTGGAAACTCGGCGTCTCGCTGCCGGTGAAGATGGCCGGGATGGGGTGCGGGCCGCGGAGGGAGATGCAGGCTGTGGAGGGGAGCTGGAGCTGGGCCGCGAGGCGCGTGAAGGGGGTGTGGGTGTCGCCGAGGCCGTGGAGGAGAAGGAGGATGTTGAGGGGGGGAGTGGATTGTGGTGGGGGGGTGATGTCGATGGTGAGGTTGGAGGGGAAGTCGGTTTTGGTAGGAAGGCGAGGCTTGGCCATTTTCGAGGGGGTTATGCTTTTCTTCTGTTGATATCGAGTTGGAGATTGTATTCGTATATTTCTAATATGGAGGATTGGATCAATTGAGCAAAATTTCAGATCGAGGTTGAGAGAAGGTTTGATGCCAAGTCTTTACCCCCACCATTAGTCTCCGCTTCCACACAGTCGGGTTACTGCAAGATCGCGAGGGGATTTTACGATTACAGCTTGGCGATTGAATTTTTTCCGATTGTCTTCATCATATGGTAACTTTCAAGAGAAGCGGTTGATAAACTATGTGAACAAGACTGCCGAGAATATCGTCTGGATATTAAATACAATATCTGGATATCCAGACATTGTGTTCTTGAGTAGCAAAAGGATGGTGCTATCTTTTTTGATAGCGTTTAGTACCAAAAACCAGATAAGCGAGAACTCCGCCTTCGGCTAAACGTATGTCCGGCATCGGACAACATGCATGACACCTTTATAAGTGAATTAGTAAGTGATATTAGTAAGCGCCAAGTCATATCCACTAACTTCAAGCTCACGCGAGGCTGAAACTTGGCATACCCAGTGACTCCTCTTCCTCCTTCTCCTTTCTTGCCAAATCCATACTCATACTACGTATTACAAACCTCTTCTAAACCTCAAAACCCAAACACCATCACCCAATACACAATACACCCAAGTACAAAAACCCCCCCCTAATCTTCATCATGGTCAAGAACACCCTGCGCGGCAGCCGCTCGACTTCGGCCCTCCGAAACCGCGTCGAAGATGACCAAGTGCTCACAGCCCGTGAACGCGAAGATAGAACGCGCACAAACCATGGACACCTCGCAGAGGCCGAAGCTGTTCTCGCATATTTTGGGATTCCCTCTCTAGGAAGGGGCAGCAGCGGCATGGAAACAATGCATTACACCAAGGCGGACGAGGCCGCTGGAGTTGCCCAGGCCACGAAACCAACGGTTCGTTGGGGCTCCGTGTCCGAGGCCGTGGATCAGCCACCGCGGGATGAGAACATAGAAGAGGTGATGCAGCGTTGCAGACGTGCTGCCGAGCATAAGCTGAAGAGGATCAGACACATGTCGAATGGGCAGCCAACCCTGGAGGATACCTTGAGGCTGGATCCGGACTTTAAGAGCTTGTTTGAGAAGTTCAACGAGAGTCGACGCGTTCCGGGGAGGAGCCTGATATCGAATGGGCTGCTGGCGGAGGGGAGCACTCTCAAGAGTCCGGAGGCTTATTGCCAGCCTTTCTGCGACTTCTTGACGGAGAATCCTACCGTGTTCCATGCAGTGAATTACTTTGAGGAGAAGCTGGAGAAGGCCGGGTTCACCAAGGTTTGTGTGGCTATATGTATATGGGACTATGCTAATGTGGGCTAGCTATCCGAGCGCAAGACCTGGACCGAAGAATTGGAAGCGGGTGGCCAGTACTTTATCACGAGAAACGGAAGCTCGTTGATCGCCTTCTCTGTTGGCGGTGGATACAAGTCAGGTAATGGAGTCGCGATGGTTGCCGGGCACGTCGATGCATTGACTGCACGACTGAAGCCTGTGAGTAACAAGAAAACATCCGCCGGCTATCTGCAGCTTGGTGTGGCGCCGTACGCTGGAGGTTTAAATACCACTTGGTGGGATAGAGACCTTGGGATTGGAGGAAGAGTTCTGGTCAAAGATCCCAGCACGGGGAAGATTAATATAAAGCTGGTCAAGTTGGGCTGGCCCATCGCAAGAATTCCTACCCTGGCACCTCACTTCGGTGTGGGCATGCTGGGTTCAAACAATGCTGAGACCCAGGCCGTCCCCATCATTGGTCTTGACAGCTCCGATGGTTCATCTGCCGAGGAGTTTAAGAACCAGACACTGGGTGGTGAGGGTGCATTTACTGCCACGCAGCCACCGAAGCTTGTCCGAGCCATCGCTGGAGAGCTGGGCATTCAGGACTATTCGTCAATTGTCAATTGGGAGCTGGAGCTATACGATACCCAACCTGCTCAAACCGGCGGTCTCGAGAAGGAATTCATCTTCGGTGGCCGCATCGACGACAAGATCTGCTCATGGGCCGCAATTGAAGGCCTCCTGGCATCCGCTTCAGCTCCTACATCTGAGACAGATGGGATTGTTAAGCTTGTCGGTGTCTTTGACGATGAGGAGATCGGATCCCAACTCCGTCAAGGCGCCAAGTCGAACTTCCTCCCCGGTGTAGTTGAGCGCATCGCCGAAGCCTTCTCCCCATCTGGCTGTAGCGCAAACGTTCTCTCTCAGACTTACGCCAACTCCTTTCTCATCTCCGCGGACGTCACACATGCCGTCAACCCCAATTTCCTGGGCTCGTACCTCGAGGGCCACGCGCCAAGACTGAATGTCGGTCTGGCAATTGCCGCCGACTCGAATGGACACATGACGACCGACTCGGTCTCGACGGCTCTCCTGACCCAGGTCGCCGAGAAGAGTGGTAGCAAGCTTCAAGTTTTCCAGATCCGAAACGATTCGCGAAGTGGCGGCACCGTTGGGCCCATGCTCAGCTCGGCCATGGGTGTTAGGGCCATCGATGCCGGTATAGCTCAACTGAGCATGCACAGTATCCGTGCTACGGTAGGATCCCAAGATCCGGGTCTCGGGGTCAAGCTGTTCAAAGGCTTCTTTGATCATTTTGAGAGCGTTGATGCGGACTTCGAGTAGCTGTTGGGCTGTATGGGAGGCGGGATCATGAGTGGGCTCGGGGATTGCGGGTGGGTGGTGGGTAATGTGACTATAGATGTCGATATCGATATCGTGGTGGAATAGATATACCAGAAAGAAACCGCACAGAGCAGTCTTTTTAGAGCATTGTTTCGACCGGCATGTCACTGGTCCTCTGTCACTGGTGGTACCTGAAATATGTATCGTACTTTTAACCTCATCCACTTTCAATATCAATGCCGGGGACTTGTTCGCTACGACAATCTCAGGATGAGCTTCACATAATGAGCTCTACAAAACGGCAGGCTGCCTCGTTGGTATTGTGAAAGATATACCCTGATTGGACGTCTGTTTTCTAACCATTTGGCTAATTGCATCTTAAGATTTATATGTTTTGCTGCGGACAGTTTCAAGATGGAGAAATTATAAGGGAGGTATAGAGGATTTAAGAAACAGGTATGAGAGAGGTATGAAAAAGTATAAAAGAGGAGAAGTGGACAGGGGAAAGGGGGTGGCAGAGGGGGTGGAGGAGGGGGTCAGAAATATCCCGACATAGGCTAGCGCTAAACTTTAAACTTAAGGTTAAATTTGGCGTGGGACAACACATTCGGATCCACATATATTTTGAGCTAGTTCAACGTCCACCTCAACGTCCACTTCATCGTCCACTTCAACGTCCACCAGCCCAACGTCGACCGATAAATTCATTCAAGATCATGGATCAGATATCAACGGACGTGAGCAGCGTCTCTGCACCCGGAACTGGTGGTTCAGCCGACCCAGCAGCAGCGCCCGAGGGCAGGCCGCTCCCTGCTGCTGAAACTGCCGTCTCCAAACGCTCGGGGAAGAGAAATGCTGTCCATGGGACGGAGGAGCGGGAGTGCAAGCCCAGACCGCTGCTGTCATCGCCGCCTGGTCTCAGCGGGTCGCGGTTCCAGTGTCCCAAGTGCCCCAAGACGTTCAGCCGGATTGAGAATCTGACGAGGCATCAGGCGAACCGTAAGTGAAGTGAACGTGGCAGTGGATTTACTTTATATCACGTATGTGTATTTATATGTATATATATGCATATGCTAACTGCATACCTACATCCCGGACGCGAGTGTTGGAGGCGAGAACCGTGCTAATAAGAATACCAGATGAGAATTTCGGCAAGTTCCCCTGCGTGGTATGCAAGAAGCGCTTCACCCGCAGCGACCTCTTGAACCGGCACCGCCGCATCCATGGCCCGCGGGGCGAGTCCCAAACGCCCAAGTCCGAACCCGCGGCTTCTTCTCCCGGTCGGAGCAGCCTCCGGGACCTGGCTCGTCGAGACGAGCCGAGCCCGGCTTCCCCTAGCGGCTCGTCGTACACGAGCTCGTCTCCGGCGGCCAGTACCATGTATCAGCATCAGAATCAGCCCCAACACCAGCACACGCCCCTTCGAGGCGTCCACGACCCGCGGAATTTCCTTCATCAGGATGGATATAGGCATCCCCTACAGCCCATTCCGGCACCAGATGCGCGGTCCCTTCAAGCGACGGCCCAAGGATTGACAAATCTGATGGAGGCGGCTTTGGCACCCCAGGATAGCTTCTCCTCCACGCCCGTGGAATCCATCAGCCCATCGATGTGGGATGGTTTCATGCGCTTCGGTGAGCAGACGAACATGTACATGGGATCCTACGATGCCGACATGTCCTGGACGTTAGATTACCTCTCCTCAGAGCACTCGCCAAGCTACCTAACTGAACAGGATATGCCGGGCGCATATGATGATTCCGGAGACGCCTCGTTTGGTTATCAGCAGATGCAGCCACAGTACGAGCAGCCGCCTGGTAGCGAAGCCGAGGACGCAGAAGGCGAGGACGAGGACGTCACTGACTGGCCAGACAAGGTCGAAAGGCCGGCTGCGTTGGAACGCGCCCCCAGGGTCACTCCCATGCAGGACCGGCAGATCTCGTGGAGGTCGGTCATAGACGAAGCTATGTGCAGCGGCCTGTCGGCAGCCACGATACGGCCAATGCATAATGTCACGGATTCACTCCGGAACAATCTGCTGGACAATCTTAACGAGAGTACTCTTCGGAACGAGAGTTCCCAGCCGGAGATTGGCGATGCCGTGTTTCCACCTGCGGAGGCGTTGGACTATTTTCTGCGTCTCTATATTCGCTACATACAGCCCAGGTACCCGGTTCTCCACCTTCCGACATTTGACATCTACAATTCACCGCCTCTGATGCTAGTTGCGATGATGTTCCTAGGCTCCAGCCACTCGGATGCAGATCGTGGCCGGTTTTCCCGCCTGTTTCACGAGCATCTGAGAATCGCTTGCACTCGAAAGCAAGAGATTGACAAGGCATGGGTACGGTATTCTACCGAGGTTGTATCATTCGCTTACGGCAAGTTTAGCTTCGGAACATCGACAACATTTTCACATACTTCCTCCTGTGTTTGGTGGGCACATGGAGTGGGAGCAAGCATTCCTACGAGTTTGCAGAAGGAGGGCGTGGAATCCTTGTGACTGCAGCCAGAAGATGTCGACTCCTGGACAATCGGCCGGTTGCCAGAGTCGATGCCGAGCCGTATCGACGTCCGGGTAGACCACGGATAGAGGCCGTGTGGTTGGCATGGATCGAGACCGAGAGGCGGAAGCGACTGGGCTTGTCGATATATGTAAGTACCCACCTGATCTCCGAGCTTCTGCTAACGTTGCAGATCTATGATTGCCAATACCCAGCCCTCTTCAACAACCAGCCCTACGTCAGCAAAGCCGAGACTACGAACTGCGTTTTCCCCTGTTCTGAAGACCTGTGGGAAGCCCACGATTTTCAAACATGGAAAATGCTCGTTGGGCCTCCGGACATGCCACCGTCCACGTACATGCCCTCCTCGCTCCACTTTTTTTTTTCCTGCTAACAATGCCAGATACTACCTCCACGCCCTCAACTGCTGTCTCCTCCGCAAATGGATCAAACCTGCTCCGGCCGTCGTACGCGCCGGCGAGTTCGGCAAGATAGTCTTGATGTACGCCCTGCACACGCACATCTTCGAATGGCGTCAATCGACCTCTATGCTCAACCCCACCGGCTTGATGGCCACCTTTGGCAACTCCGCAAACGACATGGGAGACGGCCTGCGTGAGCGGCGGAAGTGGCTGATTGACGGCCTCGATTCTTTTGCCGAGTGCTACAAAACACCCGCCACCAGTTGTGCTGCCTCTCTCCTGCACTATCTCGGCTATGTCAGTCTGGACGTGAGTCTCAGCGACATGCACCTCGTGGCCGGGCGCAGCGTGAACAAGAACGACGGGAATTTCGCAGAGGAGAACCTCAAGTTTTGGGCGAATAGCGGGATCGCAGAAGGCACGATGAGACAAGTGTATGAAATGCTTGCGCTGTGTCATCACTGTGTCAACAACGGCATTGCAGCCGACAGCAGTTATGAGATTGCCGTGTGTCTGTTTACCGGGGGCATGGTGTGCTGGGCATTTGCGAAGTTGAGGAGGGGAGGCGGGAATCAGCACTGCGTCGAGCAAGTACCCAAAGCGAGTTTGGCGTTGCGACGGATGGGCTGTTGGAGAATGTGCACCATGTTTGGAAGGATCTTGGAAGGCTTCGAAGGGAAAATGCACTAAGCGAGGAATAGGGCGATGAGTAGGGGAATAGGGGCTCGGCTATGGGCTGGGGGCGGCATCGGAGTTGGAGTCAGAAATGGGAGGGTAGAGTCCGGACGGATCCGGTCAGCTGGTATACCCAGGTACGTTTTTCTTTTATTTTAAAACGCCGGAAACTATCAAAATCCCCCTGTCGTTCCGGGTTCTCGTTTCGCCTTTCGCGCCGTCCCTTCTGTTCCGATATCCCACGAAGACAATACTTTTTATGTATGCAAGCTACGGCCAGACGTCAACAACAAGTGCTGTACTTTCCCTCCGCTTCCTGCCCTCGCTTCCCCCACGCTTCCCCCCACGCTTCCCCCCCCACGCTTCTTGGCCCCCCCCCCCTCCGTCACCTCTGCTGTTGTCGCTTAATCCGTTCCCACTCCATCCTTATGTTCAAGACTTTTCCTATCGCTCTCAATAGCCTCATCTCTCTGCCTCTTCAGTTCCTATCATCGACAGTCAGCCTCACTCGCCATCTCTCTCAGATCCCCTTGCCACTGCTCTCCACTTTGCCCCAGCAGGCTCCCCCCTCTCTTCTCTCTCTCTCTCTCCTCTTCAGTACAGAACGAACATACCTCGAGTTCCTCCGCCTTCGGGCCCATGATCAAGCCCTTCAAGAACCGATTCTCTTGCTCAAGCTCCCGAATTCTACTCTCCAGCTTCTCGAGCGCCTCCTTCTTTTCCCGCGCCTGCATCTCCAGCGTCTGCTCCCGCTGCTTCTTCTTGGCTCGGAAGCGGGCGCTGGCGGCCGTGTTCCTCATCCGCTTGAGTTCCGCTTCCGCTTCCGCGTCGCCGCCGTCGGACGTCGGGTATTGATTCAGGGGTTGCGGGGAGCTGGACGAAGATGCGGGGTGCGGGTACGGGGGATATTGCTGGGCGAGGGGGGTCAAGGGGGTGATGGGGGAGAGGGGGGTGCCGTGGTGTTGGGTGTAGATGGGGACGAAGCCGGGGGTTCGGTTGTGTTGCTGCAGTTGTTGCTGCTGCTGTTGCTGCTGCTGCTGTTGGATCGAAGTGGAGGGGGAGGCGAAAGGTGCATAGTAGGGATCGGGGGGGTATTCGGTGTTGGGGAGGGGAGGGTAATACTCGCCGTGCTGGTGGTCCAAGGGGTCCATGGTGGCGGTGGTGGTGGCGTGTTGCGGGGAGAGGAGTTGCGAGCGTGCTGCTCGAAGGAGGGCTAATGGGTCCGGGGCAGACCAGATCAGTTACAACTCTCTCGGTTCCCTCACTTCCTTCGTCGTACTCCAGCCGCAGCCAGCAGCCACACCAGAAGCTAAGCTTGGTGAACGAAGATTGACGCAAAACAGAACACGTGCAAGCACCTCATACTCGCCACAGGGGAAGGTTTGGGGTTCTTGGTACACAGACATCCCCATTTTTTCTCAGGAATCCCAAGGCGTCTAGATGCAGGCGAGCACCGCATACTTATCCCCGGGGAGAACACCATCCAACCCTCCCCCCATCTCGCCAGCTGCGAAAGCAACCAAGCGAGCGAGCGCGACAAAGGGAAAACGAAAAAATCCCCGCAAGTCAAGCAAGGTGAGAATGAAAACACCAACGAAAAAACGCACCTCGGTCAAGCTCCGTCCGGATCCCCATCCCTGGCTTCCGCGACAACGACAGGCCCCCGTCACCGCTAGCCGAGCCGATCGCGCTCCCGGCGTTCCCGCTGCTTCCCAGGATCCAGTCGCGCAGCTCCAGCTCCATCCTCTCCTCGACCTCCCAGATCTGCCTGCTGAGCGCCGCGTTCTCGCTGGGTTCGCTGGGTCCGCTGGGTCTGGTTCTCTGTCCGTCTCTGCCTCCGCGGCCGACACCGAGGCTTGCGGCGACGTCTGCTGGGGCGGAGGTTGGGCCGGGGGGTTGATGTTGGGGCGGGGGAAGGGGAAGGGGAAGGGGAAGGGGCATCTCGGGGCGGTGGTGACGGTGATGCCTGTCCATGATTCTGGGTCTGCGGGTTTCGGTTGCCGCCGGAGGAGAAGAATCGGATGCGGGTGATGATGAGGAAAGCGCTTCTGGAAGATGATGAGAGGGGACAGTGGAAAGAGGTATTGACGATTATTGACGATGGAAGCGCAGGCTTTGTAAGGATACCGGTAGATCGATCGACGCGGAAGGATTCCCTGCTTTCTTCTTACTGGTAACTGTGGACTCTGCAGGCAGTTGTCGTCATGCCAGGGCTTTCTTGCCTCTTCGCTTCATTTCACCTCTGCTGCTCTGTATCACCTCGCCGATTACCTCCACCGTGACAGGAGAAGCCTAGGGAGGGGGGGGGGAGGGGGGAGGCGGGCGAGTAGGCTTTCATTCCATCCACGGGAACGACCAACACAGGTTCCGATCATCAGCAAGAGACCGTTAATTAGTGGATCCATGTTTCTCATCTCAGGCCTGGCTTTGCTTGCTTTGCTTGCTTTGCTTGCCTGTTTGCTTGTTTGCGATCTATCCTGTTTTACTAGGGACTATCGACTAGGGGCTGTAGGCTATAGGCTCTAGGCTATAGGCTCTAGGCTCTAGGCTCTACGCTCTAGGCTAGCGAGGTGAAAGCAAGCGCGGATGTTACTAGTATTTTGTTTTATAAAATCCTAATTCCATTCAATTCTTTTCAGTTCAATTCAGTTCAATTCAATTCACTTCTCTACTTTTCACTCCACGCTGCCCATCCATTGCTTTCCCAGCTCCCTTCCCCCCCCCCCTTCTGTGACCTCACTTCCTTCCGTTCCTTCGAATGGCGTGCTACGGGTAGTACCGAATGTGGAGAGCTGGAGGTAGGGGGTAGGGGGTAGGGGGTAAGGGGTCGGGGGGTGAAAGAGGTTAGCTTAGAGAGGTTAGCGGGGGGTTCCCAGCCCTACTATTTACATGGGTACTACTACCTATCAACAAGCCCCCCCCCCACGATAGTACTGTGGTAGTCGTATGAACAACATATAGTAGTATATACAGAAACAGGGTTATTTTTCTACTGTAGATATACATATATATTCCTTGTCTTAGATAACAGGTCTAGTAAGTTAGTTAGTTAGTCAGTTAGTTAGTTAGTTAGTTAATTAGTTGTTAGTTGTTTAGTTGCTTCTTCTCAAGGGCCCTCTTTCTTCTCTGTGACTGTGAGGCGAAGAGCTGGTGTCGGGTGGGCGGTGAAGTAGGTAGGGTAGGTATTTAATCGAGTGAGTGAGTGAGTGAGCGATACATATACATAAACATATACCTTTATATATATATATACATTTACATATATATACATAGGTCTAAACATATATATATACACGCCTACACGCCTACACGCCGACACGCCTGCGCACCTACCACCCACCAGCATGCTCCTCCTCCTTAGCTTCCGACATCTCCTCCGAACCAAACAAGAACGAACCCGAGAAGGATAAAGTGAAGTGGGGTTTCAGGACCGGGGGGGGGGTAAGGAAGGGGGAGGGGGAGAGGGAGAGGGGGAGAGGGGTGACGAAAAGACGTGAGTGATACGGTATCGGATCGGTCACTTCGCTCGTTATACAAGTAACGTTGGTTAGTTAGAACTTGGAAGCGCGAATCGGGAATTTACGTAGTACCTAGGTACCTATTCGCAGGTGCAGGTGCAGATGCAGATGCAGATGTGAATGCGTTTCTGGTTTTTTAGTGGGGTTTTCTCTTTTAATTAATTAGTCGTCGGTTACCCACCCTATCATCGTATGTGATTCGGAAGAATTGACCAAACTTGCTGTCGCAAGTCGGCAAGGCGGGACAGTACCGAACGGTATACCGGTAGGTACCACCTACCAATATAAATAAACAAGAAAAAATAAATTTTATGTGCTTCGAAAACTCCGCTTTCACAAACGTGAATTAAGACATATCAAGATGCATCCATGCATTCATTTGTAGTGACTGGATACATTATAATGTAGTAAAGATGTAGCGTAGAAACTGTGTCTGAAATAATTTCATTCTTATTACTTTATTTCGAATATCGTGAGAATTATAACCTCAATTGAAAAAAAAAAAAGGTCTTGTGGATCGAAAATGATTAATCTAGCTTAGTTTATCACTCGAAAGAAGTATTGATTATTCAACAGCAGTTAATACGGTAGTGACACACGCATCCTTCTAACGAGGTTCAGATAGGTACCTAGGTTCAGAGAGGTATAGAAGTCCGCTTTTTCGCTGTTCTTCGCTTATTCTATCTATCTAGTATCTAATATCCACTATCTAATATCTCCACGGCAACTCTCATCTCTCCATACGCATCAGTACCCAAGGTCGAAAAGTACCGGTACACACACATGCAGGTAGGTATCAAAAGTCCTAATTCTACTACTCTAACCTATCACAATTAAAAAGAAAAACAATTCACAATCAAGATTTGATTAGTTACTTAGGTGATACTAAACTCAACACGCTGCATCCTCCAATACAGAAACCATCACGATGTGATAGTTAGTTGGTTGATCTCTAATCTGTTACGAAAGGTGGCAGATTGTGCTGTCCTGCCTTCCTTGGTGGCGCCGATTTGCGACCGGTACTTGGGTATTGCTAGCAAGTCAGGTGGGGTCAGTTCTTTCGGATGAGGTTTAGGGTACCTAGTCGAACGATTACCAAGTACAGGTAGGAGGTGAGATGGTGTGCTCTGTATCTCGTAAGTACATCCATCTCGCTAGATCTTCTCTTTTCTTCTTTCTTTTTTTTCTTTTTTTTTTCTTTTTTTTTCTTTTTTTTTTCTTCTTTTCTTCTTTTTTTCTTTACTTCTCGTGGCTATGAAGTTCATCTCACTATATTATAGTATATTATATTGTATCATATTATTTTACATCAGATTACAATACGTAGGAATCGAATCAACCAATCAATCAATCAATCGACCAGCGCCGAGAATCATCATTTTACAAGAGGCAAAAGAAAAAAAGAAAAGAAAAAAAAAAACTTTTAACATCAGCAAATGTAAATATAGATTGGGAACAAAGGAGCTCTGCTTGGCTCTACTTCTGCTTCCTCTTTCAAATTTCCATCCTCTACCTGGATGCCGCGCTAATTTTCAATTACTTTGCCCTCCACCCAAACAGAAGGGGGATTTTAACTTTCGTCAGCGTAACTGATAAGCAATAGATCATTACATTATTCATCCTCAATTAATGATTCTGCAACCGGTACATCTACATCCCAGGAACTGAGAGAATAGAGCCAAGTACAAAATCCTTTACGTCCAAAGATTAAGTCAAGAGGCGAAGCTTTCATATGATCATACGAACGGACTACACAGTAGCAAATCAGTAACCACAAAAATTGAAAAGATGCGGCGGAATGGACTCGGCCGGTCGGATCCACCGAGGTATTGTTGACTTGTAGGGCTTGGCGTTCAGGGTATACACGTGCTTCAAAACATCTAGACTTCAAGATCACATTATCTTCGATTGCCAAACCAACATCCCGCAAAACACCGGGGGCTGAGCCTATCTGTGGCCAACCATTTGGCTTCGCAATCATCACTATCTGTCATCACGCTCCCGCCGCATCAACGATATCACGCCTCACTGGGCGGCTCACCCGCTACTTGGCTCGTTTCCGATCACTGCTTCGTCAGCCATCGGTCCCCACAACGAAGGATGGGTTGCCTTACGTGCTGAGACGCCTGGACAGTGCCTGTAGCCCCTTGTCATTATCCGCCGCCTCCTTGGCTTTCTCTAACGCCTGTGCCCGACTCTCCTCGAGCTGTCTCTGGACCTCTTCGTGACTGGGTGGCAACCTCTCGTTCTGCAGGTCGACCTTGCGTGCATCTTCAAACGTGCTGATGGCATTCTTGATCCCCTCCGCACCGAGCATCAAGGTACCGGCAGGCAGCCTACCTCCAGATGCCGTCTTCAACTCGGTAACACTCTCGGACTCTTCTCGCAGGACTTGGAAGACTCGGGAGAGACGACCAATGGCGAGAATCTTGTTCTTGATGGCTCGTCTCTTGTACTCGATCGAATCGGGGTCCAAGGTGTTGATGGGCGGCGACACCGGGCCTGGGGAGACGGTGGATGGTGTAGCGTCATCCCTAAGCTCGTCCTCGGGGCAGATGCTCAAGATGGCAATCAACATGTCCGTGATCTTCTCTCCGACGAACGGCAGAGACCACGTGAACACGTCCATGAAGTTGGGAAGCCAGTACGGATGAGGGGTGCAGTTGAACTGTCGGATGTTCATGACATTGTTCTCGTACTTGAGGACGGCGGCTTTGTTGTTGTACACATCGAGGTAGTTGGGAGCGGAGAAGATGGTCATGACGCTGGGAAACCCGGTCGTCCGAGTCTTTCTGTACATGCGGTAACCGGCATCCTGGGCCTCGTGCGCGCGAATCACGGACAGGAGGTTGTTCTTCTCGAGGAAATTGCATGCGGCCGGGTATGAGAAGAAGTACGAGCAGCCTCGGACATGGTTGTGTACAAAGTACTCGGACGTCTTCTCCTGGCCGAACTCTTCCAAGGGATCAGCCCAGAGGATATCGCACATCAATCCGTGTGTCGGGGGTTCCCGGAATCGATCAATCTAGGGATGTGAGCAAATGTCGCCAGAGGATGGGGCGTACCTACCGATTTGAGATCGTCCAAGGTATGCAGTTCTGGACTCAAGCCACCGTGAATGCACAAGAATTGCTTGTTCATCACCGCCGCGAGAGGGAGAGCGCAGAAGGACTCCATGCACGCATCGTAGACCTTCTCGGAATACTTGTGCTTGCATTCGAGCTTGAAAGTAAAGTAATCAGTCAGATGTCTGCACTCATGGTTTCCACGGAGGAGCCACAGCGTATTCGGATACCAGATCTTCAACGACCATAGGTACAGCACGCATTCGATACTGAAGTAGCCGCGATCAACGTAGTCGCCAAGGAACAGGTACCTCGTCTCCGCCGGGTCGCCACCGACCTCAAACAGCTTCATCAGATCGTAGTACTGGCCATGTACATCCCCGCAGACAGTGATGGGCGCATCCATCTCCAGCAAATTGGGCTCCTGCTTCAAGATCTTGCCACCTTCCTCGAGAATATACAGGGCTTGTTCCTCGGTCAGACGTCCTTCGCGATAGAAATGTTGCTTCAAGAAGGCCAGATTGGGCTTGGAGGGATCTTGAGGGGAGAAGAATTGCTCGTTGGTAGGAGGGTGCATCGCAGGCGCTTGCACATCTGATAGAGGGTACGTTAGACATATTTTGGTGACGTGGGATAGGAGGGGTCGGCGGGGTCGTGGGAATAGGGGCACACAAGCTCGCTAACTACCTTTGCAGACTCTCTCCATGGTGCTGACCTGGGAGCCATCTTCCATTGTGTGCAGGGTGAAGTCGATTGTTGGGATAGGCTTCTTGGTCTGGATGGCCCTTACAGCGTTATCGAGATGAGCTGGATCACTCCCAGTCAGGTTCGAGCCTCGCTGCTCCTCGCCGTCCATGGCTGCGGCTTCGGGCGGGCGCTGGTGAACTTGTTATGTTATTTCTCGAGCCTCGACAGCAGCTGTGTGGTGATCTAGAGACGCGTCCTGTCGTCGAATATTGTATTCAGGGGTCGGGGCTTGTTTGTGTGCAGGTCAGGGCAGGATATCGTGAGGCACATGCGCAGTGAATGGTCTCGATGGATTTGGTCAGTGCACGAAAATAGTGCGACAGTTGTTGACTTCGTCTTGGTGAATGCAGCGCTCGAGGTCTCCAGCGCTCGAGGTCGGCGGCGACGAGGTGAAACTGGTGATATTCTCGTTGGCGGTTAGGTGGCGTGAGGTCGAGGTTGAGTTGGATATTGAGTTGAGCGGGACGATGACCAGTGAGGCTCAGGGATGAAGTGGATCTAAGCTCGACTAGCGTGGCTTGGCTATGGTGGGACAAGCGGCGGGATGGGACAGGCGGCGGGGCGGGACGGGGCGGGGCGGAAGGCGGAAGATAGCGTAGGAAAAAATATCCTAGCATTGGAACTGGCAACAAAACAACAAAAGGCACAAGTGAATGAACAACTTCACCACCTACCGAGACGATCTGACGACCAAATCAACAGCAATCAGTTGTTATTGACGAGTGATGGGCCCGATAATTCGGGAATGTCCTTAGAAATACCGAACGCTGTGTAACGCCACACAAGAGAGGCAGAGCGGGATAAGCAGAGCGGGATAAGGAGAGCGGGATAAGGAGAGCGGGATAAGGAGAGCGGGATAAGCAAAACGGGATAAGCAGAGTGGGATAAGCACAGCGGGATAAGCAAAGCAAGAGAAACAGAGCAAGCAGAGAAAGCAGAGAGGCAGACGGAACAGACAGACGACAGACGTAGAGACAGGCATTGCACCCTTGGGCTCTACGGTTTATATTGCTTCCCAGACTGAACTCAGCTTCCTTTCCTAAAAACTTCCAACAGAGAACACCCATCATGCATGACAACCGTGAGTATACTATCCCCCTTCACCCCCAAGCATCTATCTAACAAACACCCAGGAACCCACCCGCTGCTGGCACAGGTGCCCTTGACCGTCTCCCCATTCGTCTCTCTCCCGGCAGCAACAAGCCTCCCATACACCTACCAGACTCTCCCATCTTCCCTCCCCCCGGCATCCACTGGACCTCCCTCCGGCGAAGACAAGGCCCAATACGTCGTCTCTTCCTCCGGCCATGCAGCCCATCCAGACGAAATTGTCGCCTCATGCAAGGCTCTGCAGGCATACATCCAGAAGGTCCAAGACGATGCTGACCGGGAGTTGAGGCAATGGGAAGAGTATATTGCCGCAAGGGACCTGGCGGAGAAGAGGAGAGTGGCGCCGGGATGGCTGGACAGCGACTCGAGGATCCTGGAGCCCGAGAGAAAACCTACCGGCGGGTCAGGAGAGGAGCAGGGGAATCTGATGGATGTTGATGTATCAAGTGCTGAGGCATCAGGCCTACGAAATGCGCCGGTGGTGGAGAAGAACGGGGTGGGGGATGAGCTGGATAGGGCATTTGGGGGGATGGGTTTGAGTAAAGAGTAGAGTAAGGGGCAATCAAAGATAACATGATGCTTTGGGTATATTGTGGTGAAGCCAGACTATCTCAAATAAAATGGAAATGAATACTTCATATGAGCAAAGCAGACGGATGTTGTTGATATTCGTGCCTGAAAATTCCGGGGCCGCTAGCAAATAGCTTAATCCAAGGTCCACCATTCCAAATATTCTGTTCTCGGAGCATCACCATGTCTCCGCGACACGCCCGGGCTGCAGTTGGGCAATTGCATCTATACCGACCGTCTGCTACTCCTAGGAAGCAGAAAATATGTCTAATATGCTCTGCCTCCAGGACATTGCCACGCCCAGCGAGACGGCCTCGGGTACAACACGCGAGTGCTCGCATTCAAGCTCGGCAGCAGTCCAGCGCCACATCAATTAATCAGTCCTCGAGTACCTCGTCTAAATCTCTTCGACTGGAGCTCCAGGAAGCCCTCCGTGACCTCGAGAAACACGCCGCGCCCTACGTCAATGTATCAAAGCTACGGCTCGCCCTTCGAGGGCTAGAGCAAAGCGCAGGACAAGAGACAATCCGGATCGCGATACTGGGCATCGCAGATGGAGGCACATCGCTACAGAAAGCGAAGGAGCTTCTACGGCTACTTGTCGCAGATCCATTAAAGACGGAAGAAGAATGGGAGCGGATCCTTCTCAGTGACCACGGCGGCCGGCCGATATTCATGAAAGTCGGACAGGATGGCGCAGACGCAAGCTTCCAGGGCAATAGATTGGTACAGGAGATACATGTCTCGTCGCCGACACTCAATGGGCACAAGCTGGAGATCCTGGTGATGGAGATGGACCCACCTACCAGAGGCAGCGGAGAGGCAGGCTTTGCGGAGGCTGTGTTGGTTCCTACCATGGAGATTCCAACTTCGGGTACGGGGAGATACACGCCGGTGACTACGCCTGTGCACAAGTCGTTGGTTGTGTCGGAGGGGATTGTGGGCGTGGCTTCGGTGCTGAACTATCCTGTTGATATTGATCGAGAGATCATTGCCAGTACGGTGGATCTGCCCGTTTCAAATCATGCCTCACTCCCATTTCAGGTGGTGGATATCTCGTTGGGTTCCGAGGCTCTGCGGTCATTTAGGCAAAGCGTCGAAAATGCGCTTCTGTACGAGAAGAATTGGTTCGCAAGCGGTATCCCCGAAATCCTGGAGTGGGTTAAATCGGGGACTGCTTCCCCCAACGGAGAAACGAAGGCCCCGTTACGAAAACTGGTGGAATCTGTTTTGAAGGGTGCATCTTTGGCGGTCGAGGCAGAGGAGGCCCGCCAATTGGGTACCTCACTGTCCAAGCATGTACCATCACCACGTCTGGCGGCTCTACGAAAAGACCTCTCCAGGTGGGCGGAGAACGCACACACAGAGCTAAGAGACGACCTCGATATTGCATTCCATGGCCAGCGGTGGCGTAAGCTCGGGTGGTGGAAGTTATTCTGGCGGGTCGACGACGTCTCCATGATATCAACCGATATCCTGAATCAGCGTTTCCTCACCAACGCCGAGAAGGAAATCATCTTTGTCGCTGGGTGCATTGCACAAGCGGGCATCTTCAGGCACACGGAGGCGAGCCCCAAGAACTGGGCATACAAAGCTGTCGAGGAGGTTGCTGTCGAGCCAACACTAGGCTCTGCATCTCCACCCCCCAAGATGCGAGATCTTGTCCGGCCAGCAAAGGATACGATGCCGAGCAAGATTCGAGACCGACCCTGGCCTCTCCAGATCCCAGTAGCCCGGGCCTATCTTGCACAAGAGACAGTTCCTGCTCTGCAAGCACTAGCCCAGAAATTGGTCTTCCAAACTCTCACCACGTCATCTCTCTTCTCAGCGTTCGCTGGATTGATGTACATCTCTTCCATCACGACTACACTCTACGAAGCTGGCGGTGTCGCAGCGGTTGGCATCGTTTGGGGCCTGAGGAGGATGCAGGGGAAGTGGGAGACGGCAAGGAAGTTCTGGGAGGGCGAAGTCAGGGAGGAGGGGAGGAAGAGTGTCAGGGCTGTAGAGGGGATTGTGGGTGGAGTCTTGAAGGAACAGAAGCCGGAGGTGGTAGAAGACGCCCAGATCCTGAAGGCCAAAATGGCGATTGAGAGAGCGGAGGGTGCATTTACGGCTAGTAAATAGCGTAGAATGCTATAGAATTGTAATACCATCCATCTGCAGCTCCTTGCCATCTTTATCCTGCGCATTCCTGTGGAGTCTTCAGCCCAGGTATTCGGAATAGATATTTAGTACATTTTCTCGAGACATGTCTCCTGTACAGATGATATCATCATGTGACCTATGTCTTGGCATCTTTACAATGAAGTCTCCGACTTTCATCCGCTGCTAACTCTCAATCGACTGCAACTTCGGATTACAACTGTCTTCACGTACCACAACACCACAGCCGGTTCTGCTATTTCCTTTGTCTGGATACCACGGAGTACTGGCGTATCATCGAAACACAACATGGCTTCCGTCGCGGCAGAGGGCGAGGAGGTAAAGACACCCGTTTCGAAAGATGATAGTCGGGAAGAGAGAGCGGAGGAGGACCGACAGGATTCAGCATCTACAGGTTCACAGTCTGACGGCGAGGACGAAGGCGAGGTCAGTGACGGTGAGGTACGAAAGAATGGGTCGCCCAATGCGACACCGAACGCAGACGTACCGCAAGAAGGCCCTCCTCTCCCCAACGAAGACGTCCCGCCCCTCCCCGCAGAACCCCCACCAGGCCCGACGGAGCAAGACGACGGATGGGCGCCGGTGTGGGAAGAGACGGCGCAAGCCTTCTACTTCTACAATCGCTTCACGGGCGCCACGCAGTGGACGAATCCTCGAGTTCCCGACGACGCGGCTGTTGCGCAACCGGGTCCTCCGGGCGTTGATGTTCCCCTACCTGCTACAGACCTTCCTGCTTCGAGTCCGCCGACGACGACAGGCTACAATCCCGCGATTCACGGTGACTACGATCCGACAGCCTGGTACGCGCAGCCGGAACAGCCCACTGCGCAGAGCCTCACACAAGCCGGCGACCCTACCGCGTCGTACGCTGCGACGGCTGCTTTCAATCGGTTCACGGGGAGATATCAAGTTGCGGATTTGACGCCCGACAACTTCAATGATGAGAACAAGAGCAAGCGGCAGATGAACGCATTCTTCGACGTCGACGCCGCAGCCAACAGCCACGATGGCCGCAGTCTGAAGGCCGAGCGCAGCGGGAAGAAGCTGTCCAAAACGGAATTGAAGCAGTTCAAGGAAAAGCGCCGGGCGAAGAAAGAGGAGAAACGGAGAGCTTGGCTGAGAGATTGACACCACGTAATCGGGGCACGGTGCATAGCATGGAGGGCGTTACATACGTATCGACTTCAGTTTTTGATCTTGGATGGGCAGCAGGTATATCTACGGAGTTTGGGGGGGCATGTTCGAGTCTGGATGTAGCGAGAGGCACTGAATGCACCGAGAAGCACTGAATGGAATGGAATCGATCACACAACCGTGTTGAATGGAGATGGTCACCCTGGGATTGGAAAGTGGGTTGCGAGAAGGGAGTGAGGCTGCGAGAAGGGAGCGAGGATGTGAGAAGGGAGTGAGGTTGTTGAAAGGATGACCGATCGCGCCGTGATGTCCGGACCGCCGACCGCCAATACTGGCCTGAGAATTCCTGGATCAACACATTGAATTGAAGCATGTTGAATCGAGGGTATTTCAAGTCCTGGCCGGAACCGAAAGAGGCTTTCCCCGTGCAATCGCATTGCCAGTCAGTTCCTCAGTCACGGAGTCGTGGCCGACGACTATCAAGCAGAAGATTAGGCACTCATTGTACTCACACTCTGTTCTATTCTACCTCACATCAGTCCATCAATTCTTCCATCTGCCCACCTGCCCATCCTCCACAATAACCCTCTTCGTTAATGTACACCCCCAATTATTCCACTCCCCACTCACTTTTTCACCTCCTTGCGTTGAATCCTTCCACCCCGTTGCCAAGCGGCCGGTCTCCTCTTCGACTCACCATGCTGCTGCACAGAATTTACACAGAAGGGAAGAGATGATCACCGTCTAAACAGATTAGACTCGACTTTATCCATACCCGCTGTCGATTCGAACCAGCGCTACGACTTACAAAGCGGCCAAAGCCATCGGTCTCTCCGTCCACGTCCCTGGCACGCCATTTCAACCGAGCAATCCCTCTTCGGACCAATCCGTAAATAGAACAACCAAATACCGGTACGTAACAGCGTCGAGCAACAGGAAGCTTTTTTTGTTCAAGACCATGCGGCGTGGATGGCGAACATCTCCCTTGTGGTATCGCCATCTTTCTTTTGACATCGCCATTTCTTAACGTGGAAAATGAATAAATACCGGCGTTGGCGCGGTGCGACGGGAAGAACCCGTAGTTCGATTACTATTCTCTTTTCTCCAGCACCAACCGTCATTGAAGCGCACCATCATTTGGGTCGGGACGATCTAGTTCGATCACGCAATTTGCGTGGTATTTTTGGGGGATTCAGAAAATTGTATATCAAAGAGAGAAATCTGGGGGGTTTTTTTAAAAAAAATTGTTACATGTCAATACCGCTTTGTTTTCGGCGATTTTTATTATTATTTATCTGATCTTCAACGACATCTTTCGAGATGGCCGACACAGCACAAAGGAATGCCAATACAAGCGGAGGAACATACAGCCGAGGGAGTATCGCCTCGGCTAGCAAAGATGATCCACTCGTCGTTGGCGGCGATATTGGTACATTCCCAAGTGACAAGATCCCAGTGGTTATTCTACTCAGATGGAAACAGCACTGACATCCATCTCCCAGAGGGCGATCACTACATCACCAGCGCCGACCGTCGCCAGCTCGGCTTCTGGTCGGCCGTCTTCCTCATCTTCAACCGCATGGTCGGCACCGGCATCTTCGCCACCCCGTCCAGCATCGTCGCGCTCTCCGGCTCCGTAGGCCTCTCGCTCCTCATCTGGGTCGTCGGCATCGTCATCGCCTTCGCCGGCGCTTTCGTCTTCCTCGAGTTCGGCACTGGGATGCCCCGGAACGGAGGCGAGAAGAACTACCTGGAGTATGTGTTCACGCGGCCCCGATTCCTGGTGACGGCCATGTACGCCAGCAATGTGATGCTGCTGGGCTGGGCCGGTAGCAACTCGGTCGTGTTCGGAGAGTATATCCTGCACGCGGCCGGTGTGGAAGTGGACAGGTGGAATCAGAGAGGCGTCGGAGTGGCGTGTGTGACTTCCGCCTTTCTCATCCACGGGTGTGCATTGAAATGGGGCGTGCGGCTGCAGAACCTGCTGGGATGCATCAAGTTGGGTATCCTGCTGCTGATTGTCGTGGCGGGCTTCGTTGCACTCGCTGGCCATCTGAAGATCGATGAGAAGCCGGACAACTTCACGAACGCCTTTGAGGGCACCACTGCCAGCGCGTATGGCATCGTCACGGCACTGTACAACGTCATCTGGAGTCTGAGCGGCTACAGCAACGCAAACTACGCCCTCTCCGAAACCAAGAACCCAGTCAAGACGCTCAAACTCGCCCTCCCGACGGCCCTCGGCCTCGTCTCGGTCTTGTATATGTTCGTCAACATCGCTTATTTCGCCGCCGTGCCCAAGGCCGAAATCGTGAGCTCCGGCCGCATCTTGGCCGCTTCGTTCTTCCGGAACGTCATGGGCGAGCAGGCGGAACGCGCCTTGTCCGTGTTCGTTGCGCTTTCGGCATTTGGAAATGTGCTGGCGCTCATTTTTTGCCAGGGGAGGTGTAAGTTCCACTTCCCAGTCAAGCCACGCAAGACATGCTAACGACCCGGCCAGTGGTGCAGGAAATCGGTCGCGAGGGTATCCTTCCATTCTCAAAATTCTTCGCCAGCAACAAGCCTTTCAACGCCCCCTTGGCCGGGCTGTTCGAGCACTGGTTGGTGTCTGTGAGCATTATGCTGGCTCCTCCTCCCGGAGACGCATACAACTTCATCCTCAAGTACGTGTCCTCCTGTCCCGCAGCTCCTGAACTCTCTACTGACCCTGAGTCCACCCGCAGCGTCATCTCGTACCCTGTCTCCGTCATCAACGTTTTCGTGTCCATCGCTCTCATCCGGCTGTATCTCAAGCCCTATTCCGAGGGCCGCAACCCGCCGCAGTGGGCCCCGCCCTTCCGGGCCACGCTCCCCATCACTTTCTTCTTCCTGCTGTCGAACCTGTTCCTCGTCCTCGCCCCGTTCGTCCCACCCGACGCGGGCCAGAACGTGTACAAGAGTCTGCCGTACTGGCTGCACTGCGTCGTCGCCGTGGGCATCTTCTTCGTCGGCGCCGTCTATTGGCTCTTCTGGGCGAAGATCCTTCCGCGACTGGGGAACTACGAGCTGGTCCGAGTGGAGATGGTGGGGGAGGATGGATGGTCGCAAAACGTGTTTGTAAGGAAACCGAAGGCTCTGTAGGGTGGGTGGGTCAAATTGAGAGGTAGTGTTACACGCCGCTGGGAAGGTTTTTAGAGGATGGGTTGACTTGACGTAGCATAGTGTGTAGTATAGTGTATAAGCGAAGTTGGTAATGTATATAGATTCAAGATTGTTAATATTGAGCTACTCTATCGCTTTAATAAACTATTAGACTCACTCCTACCGGCTACATCCATGTGGGTTCTGAATAGTTCAAACAGCGAGTCTGTTTTGGCATCAGCTCGCTTAGCTTTATTGACATTGGTTTGCAGATTAGATGCCCAAGATGGAGAGTCTATTTGTTTTTTCTCGATATAATGGAGGGGTTATTGGATCAGCAAGCGAATGAGGGTATAATGTGGACGGGCTTCAACATATAGAGGGTGACTATAACGACCATTCTATTTTTGACATCTAGAAATTACATCCCTTCTTTCCTTCTACGATAAAGGCGATGGTGACCTTTTGCTGCACATACCCTCAGTTGTCCCTCAGATCCCTTACAAGCTGTACGGCCAGGGTAACAACCGGCGGTGCCGGTGTGCCCGTATCGCTGGTGCTATGGTCCACCCTGCCGAACCTGGTGATTGCCTGGATGCCGAAAAAATCGACCAAAAGGATTTCGAGGATGGCTTGGTGGCTTTATAGTATTAGTCCCGCCTCCTCAACTTTGAATAGGTCAGTACATGGGAATATCACTTACAAAAAGCATAACTCAGAGTATTCGACGCGACTGTAAACACCAGTAGTCGTCGTTGTCATTGTCGTTGCCCGCTGAAGTAGAAAAGAGAAGAGAGAGAGAGAGAGAGAGAAGGAAAGAAGAGACCAGAAGATATAGAAGGGGAAAACTACTAGCGTGGCAGAGAAGCGAGAAGTGGTGACGGTACGCGCTAGTTCCACCTGCCTTCTGGTGAATTGGTCGTCAGGAGCGAGCGACGAGCTGGAAAGGAAGGAAGGAAGAAAGGGAGGAGCAGAGGGTACGAACTTCGATAGACCCGGTGGCAGGTGGCAGGTACCTTTCTTAACCTCAAGCTCAAGCTCAAGCTCAAGCTCAGGCTAAAGCTAAGTATCAACCCAATCCTCAACCTCAACCTCAACCCCAACCTCAACCCCAACCTGAATATCAACCCAATCCTCATCCTCACCTTCATCCTCATCCTCATCCTCATCCTCAGTGTCAGCGCCAGCGCCAGCGCTCTTAACCTCTCTTTGAGAACTCGTCGCGTTCCTTTCTATCCCCTCCTCCTCTACTCGTCGTCTTACTGCTCTCGCAAGTCCCCAATCTGTACCCATGACAACTTCAGGCATTTTTTGATCGTAGAGACAATCATCCCAAAAGACATCGAACGGGGGCAAGGTCCCATCCTCGCTTATCGAATCGATATGTCGCATTAAGAATAGCAGATGACTTTGCGTTCCGAGTCCATCTTTTATCTTCATTTCCTCATAGACTTCTGGCCTCGCTTCGCCTTCACGAATGACTGGCTTCATGTCTACTGCTAGCTTTCGAAGACTAATCGAGTACTTTTCCTCCGCTGTCATGCGTTCGAAAAGGGCTTGTTGGATAATGTGGTAGAGCGAAAACGATAAGCTGACCATGATAAATAATATAGCAATCGAAGCGAAGAGTGGATGAGACGCCGCGAACGTTGGCGTAGATAGCTCGCATGACGGGATTAGATTTGGCGAAGAAGATGGAAAGGCCGATGGACCGGGTGCACTTGATGTTGTTGGTGATATTGGTGATATCGACATCCAATACCACCTCGAAATATAATATGCGCTGCTCATATTGTTTCGTAGTCCCCCGATGTCAAAGACCAGTCAAGAGAATCTGTTATCGAAAAGCCGAAAGAGGCAAAAGATGTAAATCCTATCTGGTCCAAACTCGAGAGTTCCGAGAGCTTACATATATATACATCTAAATATATTCAAGGACAGTGGGAGCTACTCGCTTGGTCCAAAAGCTAAGGTTAGCTAGCCAGTCCCATAACGAGAATAGACCATGCCTACCGGTACTTACCTACGTATACAGCCATGGTATACACGCGCTACCTCCGTACTATATACATGTCGGCATCATTGAAATTTGAGGGCGGCATCACTGATAATTTTCTCAAATGAAGCGGCGGGTGGGTTTAGGAAAGTGGGCAGCCACAGTTGGATTCCAATCCGCCTGGTTACTAAGAGGCAATAACCGCCATGTGCGATTAACACAAAGGTCAGCAGTCAGCGGCCAGCGGCCAGCCTCTCTTTCAAATAAATCGCTTGGGAGCAAAGGGTGAAAGGCACGGCAGATCTAGCAGCAAAGCCTCCTAGAGAGCAACTTTTCATAGGCCAACATCATCCATACATATCAACGCTTTCCCTACCCACGCTGCCCGCCAGCCCCCTGCCGGAGCAACACTTCAGCATCGAGTATAGTCTGTGCATCATCCTCGTCATCTTCATCACTACTATCAACACCCTGCGCATGCGCATCCTCATCGTCTCCATCCCTGCGGCGATTCACTAGATTATCGCTGTCCCCGGCGCCCGGCGTCTTCCTCTTCTCGAAATCCTCCGTGTGAGCATTCGCCATAATCGCCGTGAAACTCCTCTGGAGCCCACGATGGCGCATCGAAGACCCAGGAGTTGCCTGCGCTTCAAGCGTCGCGCTAGTATGGCTGCGGAGGCGGGACACGGCGGGCGAGGTCTGCGAGGTGCGGCCTTCTGCAAGGGAAGCGGGTGGTTGCTGGGTAGGCACGGAGTCTTCCTCCGTATCTGAGGACACAGAGTAAGGGAGTGGGATGTCGCGGGAGGCTTTGAAGCGGGCGACATTGGAGCAGTGTTCATTCTCCACACGGAAGAGGACCCACACGCCTCGGCGGGTGACCTCGGAGAAGGCTACAAGGAAAGATACAAGGGTGCTGTGTGAGAGATCCTGGGTGTAGATGGCGTAGAAGATCCAATTGAAGCGGAAGATTGGATCGAGGAACATGGCTGCGTAGTAGTAGTATGGGTTCTTGTACCCACGGACATCTCGCAGCAGGGGTTTGGAGGCGTCGGGTTGGAGAAGAGACCAATCCATCAGGAGATCCCAGATGGCTGACATTGTTAGTTTCGAGGGTGATGGGAGGGAGGAGAGGAGAGAAAAACTGACAGCAGTACACGGCATTGATTGTAGCAAAAGTGATAAAGATTGCGAGATTGCTCTTCGCCCGGTCGATACGGTAGATGCTCAGGCTCACACAATAAACGATCGTCATGGTATACTTCCCACCGTTGACCAGATGAGGGAACACATTTCGTGTGTCGCGGTAACGTCGAAGACATTGCAAGGCACGCCAGATGCCCGGGAGTGTCGAGAAGAAGCCGAGGAGCCGAGAATGTGTCGAATTACATTGTGCTGGATTGTCCCAGTAATGCGCATACAAGCAAAAGAACAACTCTATATTCTGGATGATGTTAGACGGTCCTACAGAAGCGAAGGGGGTCTTACGCTCATAAAATATGTCAACGAACAATACATGTCTCCGAGAAAGAAATCGCGAAATTCTACAGGGTATAGACCGGCCAAAAGCAAACGCCACTGCAACGGCCAGTCAGCTCTCTTCACAAACACATGCAGAACAACTCACATGCGAATAGACAAACCATTTGCGACTCCGATGAAAAATATAGGGCCCAGGAAAGAGAATAACCACAGCCGTGACGAAGATCAACACAACCGGGTAGTAGATAAACATCGCAGGAGCCCCGTATCTCGTGAAATTCAGCCAGACAAACAGTCCCCACACGAGGATGAGAAAGGAAGGGAATTCCGACAGCTGTCGCCAGTCCAGGTTGTGTCGAGTGTCAAATTCAAACACGAATTGGTAGTTGATCTTGTTCCGTGTCCAGATGCTGCAGTCCAAGCAGAACCAGGAGAACAAGTACAAGGCCAGGAAGTAGCCGCCGTAAATCTGCAGTAGATAGGATGTCTGAACCCGGATGACAGGATCTGGGTCGGACAGCAGTTCGGAGCCATGTATGATACCTTGGATCGAGAATACGGCCCCGATCCCAATCAGCACGCCATTGCGGAAAGCGCTTGCCGATTGGTCTGCGTGTCCCTTTGTAGAGCTGCGAAGCTTCCCGGTAGCGATCTTTTGGTTCCCTCGCTCAAAGTACCGGGCATAGAGGTCCTCGACGGCGTGCAGGTGGGAATCGAGGACGTCGCTGTTCACGAACCACGCCTTGTTGACCTTCTCGGACATGAAGCGAAGAGGTGGATGGGCATCAACGGCCTTGTCGTATTTCTTGTTGATCTTCCGGAAAGCCGTGCGGTTCAACAGGGCGTAGGACTTGAGCAGCTCCATGCCCCGGTAGTGTTCTTGGAGGGCGAGCTTAAGTTTCCTCTTGGCAGTTCGGTAAGGTACAGCATCGCTGTAATGCGGTCGCCGAATGTAGTCTCTACCGTCGTCGGCTTGTTCGTTTCGCTCAGCTTGGGCCTTGGCTCTCATTTCGGGAGACTGGTTCATGTTTTGCAACGCCTTCGAGTTTGTTCCTGGACGAGGGCCTGTGATCCTGGCTTTGGCGTTTCCATAGGCTCTCTCCAAGGGGTCGAGCCACGCGGTCAATCCATCGCGAGAGGTTGGTCGGTAGTCGTCGTCCTTCTTGGACTGACCGCTGGACTTGGTCCCAAAGTCGAACATCTTGCTCTCTTCCGCCCGGCGAACAACCTTGGCATGCTGAGCCTGGGCTACCTCATCGATGCGTCGGTTCCGCATCTCGTGGAGTTGCTCGCGAAGGACCTTCAATCGTTCGCCCGCTTCGTCCTCTTTCGCCCTGTAGAACGTCTCTACCTTCTCCAGCTCCTTGTCCATGAACTTGAAGAACTCCTGCTGTCTTGACCGTACCTGATCCATGGCGATGTCCTCATCCAACCGTTGACCCTCTGCGTGATCCGGGGACGCACCTACAGAGAATACCCGGCGCATGAACGGCCGAACACTTCCGCTTCGATGCGCCCTGTTCCTTATGCTTGCGAATGTACTCCTATGTGGCGGTGTCAACGTCCTGCCAACCTCATACGCACTAACGGGAGCTGCAACGGGCCCGGGTCTGCTCGGGGCAGACCGGCTCAAGGCAGAATGGTTTGAGGCAGACCAGTTCGAGGGTATTCTACTCAAAACCCCTCTCGGGCTCATCGACCCATCGTGTACAGGAGCCGGTTCCATCGCCGGGTCTGGCAGTTCAAAGCTGGCGGAGGGTCTCGCGGGCGGCGTAAGCACAAAACTCCCATATTTCACATCTTGATCTGAAGGTCCTCCATTCTGCGCAGGTATCGGCACCGAGGGCGTCGGCCTCGAGGGTTTCGAAGGGCGTCCGTCAGAGTTTTCCGAGTCTGGTTGTGTATCTGCCCCGAGCGCCGCAGGGGAGCCCCGAAGGCCTTCTGTCGCTTCCTCGTTGGCGCCGTCGAATCTGCGGACCGAGGTCGAAGTGTGGTTTCGAGGCTGGAAGGACGTAGCTCCGTACAGGCTGTGATTTTGAGGATCAAGGCTGGGCTTCTGCTGCGGTGCTGGCGTTCGAGGGGTGCTGTTCATGCGGGATTGGGCTCTAGAAACCGCCTTGACGTATTTCTTGCCCACCTTGTAGTCCAGGTACTTTGCGCGCCATTCTGGTTGCTTGTTAATATATAAAAATTGAAAAGGTAGTACAGAACGCACCCGGGACAAGGTCCTGCTCTAGCTCTTTGGCAAACTTCATCGTGGCGAGGCTGTGAATGCCGGAGGGCGAGGACGAGGCATGTAGGATATCACCGCCGACGACTTGTAGGGAGAGGGCGACGATCAAGTATTGATAGCCATCTGCAACCAGAGAGGTAGGACAGAAGAAACTTGTGAAGCTATTCGCAGTCTGACATGGTCCATGACGTCTGTCGTCAGGAATGGGACTTATCGCAGCGATATGTTGTGGTGGGCGAAAAAGTGGGCAGCCGGCTACAAGGCTGCAGGATCTTGCCGAAGTTTACCCGCTGATTTTTTAAGCGAAGCTTTGTTGACCACTCTCGATTAACTTGGTAGGAGGTCTACTTTTGGCTGTATTCTTTTGAATTGTGTAGTTGAGTCTTCAATTTCAATGGAGAAATGAATTTTGAAGTGGAAATTTAGATAGAAACCGGATTATAGTAAATGGAATAGAAATTGAAGATTAAAAAAATAAAGAGTATCGAGGGAGTTCTTGTGGAGAAAGTTCTATCAAATTTATTTTCGTGGTATAGGATAATTCATAAGGCTTCAAAAGGAATAAATAAATGGACAATCAGTCCAGATCAATGTAGAATCTAGAATATTAGCTTTAGATGTATATTCCTAATCGTCCTCTCATATTATATATAAGAAGTTGATTGACACTCCAATTCACCTCATATCCGGCTGCAGTCTTTTATTGTGTATCTGCACCTCCAATTCACTACGGAATAGCAGCCACAAAACACGTGGCTGAGGATTCAATTTGAACATGCTTCCTCTGGATATAAAGCTCCGCGCAGTCAATCTGTTGATCTGTCCACCATCATCCTCCACACTACATATCCCTTCGACCTCATCAACAACAACGTACACTTCAAGACAATTGACTGTATGTACCTTCCACACTCGTTACTCCTTACCTCTTTCTACACAGTCAGAGGCCAAATGCAGGTCCCTGGGATAGAAGTCAACTCCAAACACTTCAGTGCTTACCCGGGGCAGTACGCAGCACAACCAAACACACACCTTAAAACCCGCTCGTCTTCCCGCTCAACATAAATCTCGCCGGTACGTCCCTTCTCTCCTCCAGCCCCCCCATCTCTGTCCACATTCACTGACACCCCTTAGCAAGCATGAAACTCCTGCTCATAACCATCGCCGCTTTCCTCATCGCCCTCGTCTCCGCCAGCCCAGCACCAGGCCACAAGCGCGGTCTCGCCTTCAACAACCCCTCCACTTACGTCCAGCACTTCAACGGCCCCAACTCCGCCGTGAGCTGGGCCTACAACTGGGACTCTACCACGGACGATGCATTCCCACACAACAACCTGCAGTTCATGCCGATGCTGTGGAGCGATGCCCCAGACCATACCGCCAACGCAAGTCCCTCTCCTCCCTCCCCTTATCTCCTGTTGAAGAACACTGCCGAGCTAACGCTAAGCAGTGGGTAAACAACGTCAACCGCGCCATCGCCCGTGGAACCCACAAGATCCTCTCCTTCAACGAGCCGGATAAATGCCCCAGCCAGGCCTGGTAAGCCGCATTCCCTTCCCTTATTCAGCTGTTTTTCAAGAGCCGCCATTGCCGAGTTGGAATCACCCCGCTCATCCATCTGCATCAGCATGTCCCCCCAACGAGCCGTCGACGCATACCGCAAGTACATGATGGTAGGTAACGCGGCAGATCTCATTCTCCCTCCCCCATCCTTCTCCCATCCTTCCGAGCCCTTCTTGAATAGGCAATTACTGACTCCCCCGTGTCCTTCCAGCCCTTCGCCCACCGCGAGATCTCTCTCGGCGCCCCAGCCGTTACCAACGGCCCTGATGGCCTGCCCTGGTTACGGGAATTCGTGAGACTATGCACCGGATGCCAGGTACGTTTGTCGTCATCCGTCTCCTATCTCTCCCCCATCCTTGCTCCCCAAGTCCGCTGCCAGCACCCATTCTTTATCCTCCGGAAAGGACTCTGGACCCATTAGCCACCGACGTGACGACAGAAGCTAGCAAGAAATCGATACTGATACGCGAGAAAATCCCCAGATCGACTTCCTCCCCATCCACTGGTACGACGCCGCAACCAACATTCTCTACTTCAAGAACCACCTCGCCGAGGCCCACGCCGTCACCGTCACGGGCGGCGGCGGCGGCTCGCGCCAGATCTGGCTCACCGAGTTCCACGGCTCCGGCACGCCAGACGAGCAGGTTGCCTTTCTCCGCGACGTGATGCCTTGTATGTATCCCTCGTTCCCCCTCTTCACTTCCCTCCAATCTCTCCTTACTCTCTTTGCTCCTCTGCCTAACCAGCAAAACCAGGGATGGACGCCACCCCCTGGATCTCGCGCTACGCCTGGTTCTGGACCGAGCCCAGCTACGACCAGGGCGCCCTCGTCCACGCAGACGGCCAGCCCACCGCTCTCGGCCTCGTCTACGCGTACACCCCGTCGCCGTTGACGGTGTGCACGTGCACCTGGTAGGTAGCCCGTGGCTGGACTGCAGAACGAGAGACAGAAGAAAAAGAGAGAGAGAAAAGCGAAAGCACCCGATATCATCCTAACGTATTCCGGGAATCACTCGGCACACAGCAGCGGTGCTGGTGATGTTAGTCTGGATCCTGCTCTTATTTTCCCGTCTCGCTTTTTCTTTTTTTTCTCCCCTTTCTCTTGCCGTCCTCTTCTTCGGTGGATTACACCGGTTCTTTTTCTGGGCTGGGCTGGGCTGGGCTGGGCTCGTTTCCTCGCTGCTGGTGGTGGTGTCTTTGGTGGTTGGTTGGTTTTTTGCTAGCGATGATTTCCTGCATGTTGTGTGTGTCCTGGTTTGCGATGCTGACTGGGTTCTTCGCAATAATGCAAAGAAAGAAAGAAAGGATGAGTGGATGAAACAGATAAATACCATAGAGAGATAGAAAGTGAGAGCGAGCCTGTGCATAGATCGGATGGGATAGAATGAAGTTGCGAGTCAAAGCCAAGTATAATGGCACTTGTCAATTGCCTGCGACTGGAGTCAATATCAATTTCCAATCTGGAAAACGCAGGGCCTTGCAGATAGTGTGATTTCTTTACATCTATACACATTTATCAGTAATAGCGTCGTTGTATATGTACATATACATATATACTCCCCATCTATTGCACCGCCACTCAAAAAATCACACGTTCTGCCCTGAGAGAAGAATCTCGGTGCCAACCAGCGCCCCCCCCCCCCCCTCGCCCCCACTCCCCTAGCCTATCCACTAAGGCAAGCAATACCCGCCATCGACAATGATATCGGTGCCGGTGGTGTAGCTAGCAGCATCGCTGGCCAGATACAAGAAAGCCCCCTTCAGCTCACTCGCCTCACCCTCTCGCCCCATCGGGATCTTGTCGCGCCAGATGTTCTTCGTCTCCTTGGGCACAAAGTCGGAGATCTCGGTTGCGATGTAGCCGGGCGAGACGGTGTTGGCGCGGGCGAACCCGACCCACTCGACTGCAAGGGATTTGCCTACATTTTGCCATTCAGTAAGAGGACGATATATGGAATAGTGGATTCAGATGTGCAGAGGCGAGGAAAGGCAAGAGAGGAAAGAGAGGAACCAAGAACAGAGGAGGCGATGCAGGGTTAGGGAATCTGCGGATTACAAACGTACAGAGATGGATCACGCCCGCTTTGGCCGCGTTGTACGTCGCCTGCAGCTGCGGGATGTTGACGATATGTCCACTCATGCTCGCCGTCGCCACAAAGCTGCCTTCCCTGAAGGCCGGCTCCAGCGGCTTGCCGTCGATCGTCGTCTGCTCCTTCTTCTGCCTTCTCCAGTGTGTAGCGGCCACCCGCGCGCAGTAGAAGGTGCCATCGAGATCCGTCGCAACGACGGCGCGGTAGTGGTCCAGCTCGCCGGAGATGGCGGCTCCCTGTGTCCAGGGAATGCCGGAGTTGGCGATGAAGACGTCGAGACGGCCGTTGAAGTCGCGGATAGCCGCCTCGATGGCGGCCGAGACAGCCTCGTAGCTGGTCACGTTGACCTGGTAGGCTTTGGCTGTAAGAGGGAGGCGTGTCAGTTGTTTATGCGCTCTAGCAGAGGGGAGGGGGAGAAGAGGGAGGACAAGGAGAAGTGGAAACTTCGATTTCGACTTCGACTTCGCCTTACCTTGAACGCCGTGCTTCGAGGCAATCTTCTCAGCCTCGTTGATTGCTTTCTTGTTGCTGTTATACCAGATTGCTACATTGGCTCCTGCTTCAGCGAGGGCGTGGGCAACCGCCAACCCGATACCTGCTCCTGCGCCAGAAACGATAGCGGTACGGCCTTTCAAGGAGAAAAGGGGGAGGACGAGGTCGTGTTGTGCGACGGGAGCTGTGGTGCTGTCGTGGGCAAAAGACCCGGTGGCAGTAAGAACGCCGTCCATGTTTGCGTGTCTGAGATAGGATGAGTGAAGCTGTCGAAGAGTCGAGTCGAGTAGTCCAGCCGTAGATTGAAGCTTCGGGCAGAGAGCAAAGAGCAATGTTTACTTGATGAAGTCAGGCGGAAGAGCAATAGATATATCAATGCCGCGTTAATCTCCCCGCCGACCCGGCCGGCCGACCGTACAACGTATATTTCGCTGCCGAGACGGTGGATCGGGATCCGACAGCATCTTTGTTGACTGGGAGGATGGCAGGAAGGCTTGGTAGCGGGGTTCGAGGGTCCGAGGGGTCGATTAGAGTGGGGAGGGAGTGGCGGATCCGAACTCTTTCTTCGAGAGGATGCGATGGAGAGAGAGGTAGGTAGGTACCGGTAGATACCTAGATATATGGAATGTATGGAGAAGATCAAGCGAATGGAGATATCATAAATAAGAAGTACCTATGTACCATACAGATAGATACCGTAGACCAACCCTGAGGTGCCTCGGTAGCCATTCGATTGTCAATGGCAGCCCATACCGTCCGTAGTGAAGTGTGGGGAGCCTCGGCTAAATTGCCATATATCGGATACGCGCTAATGCCTAAATCGACGACATGTCCTCGCGTTTCCAACTTCTCTTCCCTCTCTCCTCTTCCCTCTCTTCTCTCCTCCAAGATGTTCTCACATCGACAGGTTACCTTGATACAATGCACATTGCATTGTACATTCAGCCTCCACCACATGTACCGGTAAGTGTCAAGATGACCGACCTGGCTTTCGCTCCCTCGGTCAATATCCACCATCGTAAGACACTGCATTCCAATGCTGGAGAGTTGAGGGCTCTCGACACCAAACATCTTCTGTTCGGCGAGGAATGCTCTCGCTCTCGTATGTGAAGTGCACATTCCACAATTTCATATC